CCATTTTCCTTTACATTCTTGGACATAGATTATTTTACAATCTACATGTATAGAAGTGAATTGAAAGTTGTGAACTTTTATAGTACACTGTATGCATTTTCAAAAAGCTTTACAATGGCCATTTTCCTTTACATTCTTGGACTCGGATTATTTTACGATGTTAACCTTGACTTGTTCTTCACCTTACATGTACCTACGTGTACTTCTGAGTAATTTGTAATTAACAATCAAATCAACAAATATTCACATATCATATTAGCAGATGTCTGGCGAAATTACATTACAATAAGATATTCTGATCGATAGTATTTGGTTATAAAACCAGAAGTGTTTTGGGTGTTACTAAATACCACCTAGGTGTTCCCTTGGGCACCTGGATTTATAATTCCATTTTAAACCACATACACATTTTAAATATAGTATTATTTCCTTTGTCATATTACCTTGACATATAATAGACTTGAAATAATAATTTGTAGTCGAGAATATTGCAAAGAAATGTAAAATAGTGCAATGAAATGTAAAAAGATTTATTGTTAGATGGCCACCTGGAATTTTGTTCATGTATGTATGGTCACTTATTTGTAGTAATAAAACTGTTTTAATGCTAAAATGTTATATTTGAAATACATTTATTGTTCTTACTTGAGTTGCTAAAATAGTGAATTTGTGGCATTTTTAGTGGGCAAATAATGAAATATTATCCTAACAAATGGCCTTTTCGACAACGATCAAAATTTTCAAGACAATTAAAAAGATAATGACAAACAGAAATATCTACACAAGTTCCATAAAAATACTTTATTATGTACCATTAAACACTTGGAAAGATGTTAGCTTGAAATAAAGTAGTAAAATATGCCAGTAAGGCATTTCAATGGGGGCACCTAGGTGTGGGGCACCTAGGTGGTATTTAGTACAACCCAGTGTTTTCTCTGAGGTCGGCGCGTCAAATTCCATATATGTATTCTACCTTCGATATTAGTATTGGCCGGTACATCCTCCCGATTAATATCTATCATTGGGTGCTTTCAACACCATGTATTTCTAATGTTATCGCAAAATAGTCCATAAAATGAAGGAAATGTTTCAAAGTTAGAAATTTGATCGGCCTTTTACCAAAAGAGCTTCTGCGCATGAGTTCTGCGCATGTCAAAAGCCCGTCAAACTTTCTCATTTCTTTTAACATTTCTCGCCTTTTACACGACTTTCCCACCTGGAATCATACTCTATCATCAAATTAGAAATATAAGGCATAACTTTAGATCGATTTCCAACCATCTCTTGTGAAAGTATTGAAGATGATCGGGGAAAACAATCCCGTCTATTCGAGGGGCTCTCTTGGGGATTTCTTCAATCACTATCAATACTATTGTCTTTGCAAGTTCATTTCTATATTTAGTGATCTTTACTGTATTCTCTCCAATGACATATGGTTTTTACAATTCTACATGTACTGTACGTCGTGAAAGAACAGAATCCAACAAATACCAAATCTAAAAGTCAAAATAACAGGCTAAAGGAAAGGGGACAGTAAAGCGTCATGTACAGCATTCTATGAGAGTTCACAACTTAAATCGTAAAATGAGCTAAGTCCAGGAATGTAAAGGAATTTGGCCAATGTAAACCTTTTTGAAAATACATAACATAATAGTTTACAACTTTAAATCTTGAAATAATCTAAGTCCAAAAATGTAATGGAATATGACCAATGTAAAGCTTTTTGAAAATGGATGCCATAAAATTTCACTTCTATAGATCGTAAAATATTCTAAGTCCAAGAATGTAAAGGAAAATAGCCATTGTAAAGCTTTTTGAAAATGCCTAAATTAAAAGTTATCTACTTTACATCGTAAAATAATCTAAGTCCAAGAATGTAATGGAATTTTGCCAATGTAAAGCTTTTTAAAAACGCCTGCATAAAAAGTTCACAACTTTGTTTCGTGAAATATTCTAAGTCCAAGAATGTAAAGGAATATGGCCAATGTAAAGCTTTTTGAAAATACATGCCTTAAAAGTTAGCAAGTATATATATATATATAGTATATATCCCTTCTATATATCATCATCCTCCGATCACAGGGCTTCAAAATCCAGAATATCTTCTTTCTTTTTACCCCCTGCTATAACCAAGTTGGACGCGCCCGATTAAACTGAATCACGTGATCTTATTATGCGCCGATGACGTATACATGATTTCTGTCGCAGTGTTGCGACAGCCAATCAAATTGCGAGTTCTTAATCGGGGAAATGCTAACTGCTTATAGCAGGGGGAAGAAGGAGGTACGGATTCTGGACACCTGCTTAGGAGGATGTATATCATAAAATAATGTAAGTCCAAGAATGTAAAGGAAAATGGCCAATGTAAAGCTTTTTGAAAATGCATGCCATAAATTTTACTTCTATAGATCGTAAAATAATCTAAGTCCAAGAATGTAAAGGAAAATGGCCAATGTAAAGCTTTTTGAAAATGCATGCTGTAAAATTTCACTTCTATAGATCGTAAAATAATCTAAGTCCAAGAATGTAAAGGAATATGGCCAATGTAAAGCTTTTTGAAAATGCATGCTATAAAAATTCACAACTTTCAATCGCAAAATAATCTAAGTTCAAGAATGTAATGGAATTTCGCCAATGTAAAGCTTTTTGAAAATGCCTGCATAAAAAGTTCACAATTTTGCTTCGTGAAATATTCTAAGTCCAAGAATGTAAAGGAATATGGCCAATGTAAAGCTTTTTGAAAATACATGCCTTAAAAGTTATCAAGTATATATCGTAAAATATTTTAAGTCCAAGAATGTAAAGGAAAATGGCCAATGTAAAGCTTTTTGAAAATGCATGCCATAAAATTTCACCTCATAAGATCGTAAAATAATCTAAGTCCAAGAATGTAAAGGAATATGGCCAATGTAAAGCTTTTTGAAAATGCATGCCATAAAATTCACTTCTATATATGATAAAATAATCTAAGTCCAAGAATGTAAAGGAAAATGACCAATGTAAAGCTTTTTAAAAATGCATGCCATAAAATTTCATTTCTATAGATCGTACATGTAAAATAATCTTAAGTCCAAGAATGTGAAGGAAAATGGCCATTGTAAAGCTTTATGAAAATGCCTGCATAAAAAGTTCACAACTTTGCTTCGTGAAATATTCTAAGTCCAAGAATGTAAAGGAATATGGCCAATGTAAAGCTTTTTGAAAATGCATGCTGTAAAAGTTCACCTCTCCAGATCGTAAAATATTCTAAGTCTAAGAATGTAAGGGAAAATGGCCAATGTAAAGCTTTTTGAAAATGCATGCCATAAATTACACTTCTATATATCATAAAATATTCTAAGTCCAAGAATGTAAAGGAATATGGCCAATGTAAAGCTTTTTGAAAATGCCTGCATTAAAAGTTCACAACGTTGCTTCGTGAAATATTCTAAGTCCAAGAATGTAAAGGAATATGGCCAATGTAAAGCTTTTTGAAAATGCCTGCATTAAAAGTTCACAACTTTCAATCGTAAAATAATCAAAGTCCAAGAATGTAATGGAATATGGCCAATGTAAAGCTTTTTGAAAATGCCTGCATTAAAAGTTCACAACGTTGCTTCGTGAAATATTTTAAGTCCAAGAATGTAAAGGAATATGGCCAATGTAAAGCTTTTTGAAAATGCCTGCTTTAAAAGTTCACAACTTTCAATCGTAAAATAATCAAAGTCCAAGAATGTAATGGAATATCGCCAATGTAAAGCTTTTTGAAAATACATGCCTTAAAAGTTTAAAAGTTCAGTAAGTGGGGTGTTTTTAAATTTCTCAACTCGTCATTGTAAAGAAAAAAAGCTTTACTTAAAAATGACATAAATTTTTGTCCCTAAATCTTGACACTGATGAATTTTGCGAATGAATGGATTTGGGATATTTGGAAACAATGAAACAAATTGATTAGATATGACACAAAGACAAGTTATTTTGACTGATTGAAAGATGCTACCACCTTATAGCTTGCAGTGAAACACTATAAAGGTCTTATCACAGAGGTCCGGTATGAATGGCATTTTGCGTTTCACATGCTTTTTTGAATTTCGTTGTTTTTGCATTACATTTATTTGATATTTTTACAACTTGCTAATAATACTCCTCAGCTACTTTGAACAAATTTTCAGTGAATTTGGGACATCAATTGCTGAGGAAATACTTGTCAAAAAGTGTCTCACTTTTTTTGGGACACCCCATATATATTTTATTGACTATAATGTCTGTCTCTCCAACATCTAACTGGGTCATGTGTTTCTATTGTACATGTAGAAGTGCTTGAGACAGTTTAACCTTAAACACATCAATTATTCTGTCAATTGTCAGTTTTCATTTTATGTTTTCACTAGTGTTTATTTTATGTCTGCACAGTTTTCTGGAGTGATGACTGATGAATCTTTTTTTCTCTGTAACCAAAAGAATTATTATATAGTATAATTATGTCACCACTTTTTGGTGGTGACATATTGTTATGGTCTCTGTTTTTGTGACGGCGGTTGGTGTTTGGCGTCTGAAACAAATGTTTAACTTCCAATAACTTAACAAATACTGTTTAGACTGACTTCATTTTTTTCAAAATCATCTACAAGTTTTCAGAAGTTCAAATCTGACTTTAGATTTAAGATTTCACCTTCAATGACCTTTTCAAGGTCAGAAAAAGGTTTATGATTGGCGGGTTGTGTCTGTAAAAAATTCTTACAACTTCCAATAACTTAACAAATACTGTTCAGACTGACTTCAATTTTCTTTCAAAATCATCTATAAGTTTTCAGAAGTTCAAAGTCGATTTAAGAATTGACCTTCGATGACCTCTAGAAGTTCTAAAAGGTCAAAAAGGTATTTTTTCAACTTGCTTCAAATTGATTACATTTTTTTTAAAATCATCTACGAGTTCTCAGAAGCTCAAATCTGACTATAGATTTTACATTTGATGTTCAATGACCTTCTCAAGTTTAAAAAAAGTCAAAAAGGTCTTTTTTCAATTTGCTTCATATTGATTAAATGTTTTCTTCGAAATCATCTACAAATTCTCAGAAGTTCAAATCTGACTATAGATTTAGGATTTGACCTTCAATGACCTTCTCAAGGTAAAAAAAGGTAAAAAAAGGTATTTTTTCAACTTGTTTGAAATTGCTTGAAATCTGCTAAATGCAATACATGTAGATCATATCTTTATAAAAGTATAATATAGAATGTCTCTAATATGTTTATTAGTTATATCAAACATGGTCCTCATTGCTCTCCTCTCTTTCCATATTTTGAACCACAGCAAGTATACCAAACATTTATTCTGAATTATTCAAACTCCACTGTGAGGTCCTTATGGTTCACCATAACTTTATTGTACTCTGCATCAAAGAGTTCATTCTGTGCTACAGTGAAGTAATTCTTCCATCCTCCTATTTCACCTGTAAGAATAATTGCATAGTCTAAAAAACATATTGCAGTATTGAAGTTGAAATAATAAATTTAGGTGTGTTGTTATAAGGCATATACATTATTGGCCCTGTAGGATGAACAACATACCAATTATTACAGATGGCTTTTTGTTGAAAAAAGCTGCTTAGTGTTTGTAATTGTCCAGTTAATAATTCAAATGAATTCCATTATTTTACAGAGAAAGTTAGTGAAAATTTTAAATACACAACCTTTAATTTTGTCATTTACTAATTATCACCAAAAAAAGTGTATTGATCTTCTCTATACCTACACATCTTTTGTTTTGCATGTAAAGAAAGGCAGAGGCTCTTTTTGCTGCATTAGAACTACATTTACATGCTTTCATACAATAGGAGCATTGTCCTTACCTTTACGAATCATGCCAGGCTTTCCTTGTTTCACAAAATCTGTTAATGAATCCAGCTTTGGATTTTTCTTCATCACTTTTATGCTACAAGCTTTTTCCACTTCCTCATAGAAGTTCATGTCGTAGGTTTTCCCAAGGAATTCTGATAATTTCTTTACATTTGTGACAAAGTTCTGCAAATATTTATGTTTGTTTTCCATGATTAGTTTTCAATGAGAAAATACAAAGGCCAACATTTGAAAACCCCTATAATTCATAAGAACAACGTAACTATAAAAAAAACAAAGCCAAGCCTTAATTTCAAGGCTAGCTTGACAAGAAAGAATCTTTACCCTCTCAGTAATTTAAAAAGTTTAGTATTTTGAAATTTTCAGTTCAATACCAGAAGCTGGCCTTCATGCACTTGAAATCGAATAGAGAAATGATAGAGAATGTTTGGAAAATTATCCTGATCAAACATTTTTCTCTGGATTTCTTAAAATATGTTGTTTTTCACAAGGTGGCAAATAAAATATACAGATTTAAACTGGTTTACCTTTTTCATTTGCACATAGCTGGCCTTCATGCACTTTAAACCAGACAGAGAAATGATAGAGAATGTTTGGGAAATTATGCTGATCAAACTTTTTTCTGGATTTCTTAAAATATGGTGTTTTTCACAAATTGGCAAATAAAATATACAGCCTTCGACTGGTTTACCTTTTTCATTTGCTCATAGCTTAGTATGAGTGTATTTTTGTCATTCTTGCTCTTCTCCCACCAGTCAGGTACATTATCCAACCAACGACCCGATTCATCTTTAAAATATTTACAATTTTTGCCATTGTTATTACCTACATGTATATCATATTTTCATGACAAATTACACCTATTTAGTGAACCCCTGATCTAGGTGTTTGGAAATAATGTTTACCAAATACAATAAGATGCTGAAGTTTCCATCATCTTTACTGTTTTTGTCACATAACATTTTGTTCAGTGCACTTTAGTAGATTTTTACACTTGGGATATGACATCACAATAGGTATAGATGGAAGCGTCATTGACTGATTTTTATTATTTTAGTGTTGTTGATTCTTGTTCTAGAAAATCTTGAATTTGAACCTGATATCTGTTTTCATGGTCCAGTGTTGTAGAAGGTGTATAGAGTTCAACCTTGATAAACTGTAAAGGTCAGGTCATGCAACAGAAATTAAGAAACCTGTACTTACGGGTTCCACTGATTAATAAATCAAAGTATTGGTCCCAGGTTCCAGTGAATTTATAGACAGCTTGAAGGGTGGTCATGTGATAGAAGTAAGATACAGCCACATCTTTAGGGTTCCGGTACAAATAGAAAATCTTGCAACCTTTCTTGAAGATGTCCTGAAAATATGTAGATATAGTTTAGTTCAGTTTAGTTTATAGGGTAAGGGTTATGGATGCAAAATTCGAGAGTCACCCATGTTATATATATATAAACAGGTCACTTTGACCTGTTTGTACAAAATTAGTAAAACTTGCCCAATAGCCGAAGATCTAAGCTGATCTTCCATTTAATTTATTGAAAATGAGGTTGTTGTTGTCTTCACATAGTTATATCATGGTACAATTCCAATCCAGTTTTTATATGATTGATAAATGAACTTTGCTAAATGTAAAAGTTTGTAACTTGAAGAGGCTTAGATTAGATAAGTAAGAAAGGACATACGGGAGCAATGTGATTGTATTCGAAATGGGTCAAGAGAATTCTGGGAGATGGTATTGCGTCAAGTTCCTCCATTGTTCTCATTTCAATGAAATTGTTCTCCTTACACTTGTTAACACTCTCTGTGGTGTGATTTAGTATCATATGGACCACCTCAAACATCCAATGGTGGCCTGAAAAATTGTTGATTGTATTTGTAAAGTAAATTGTTCAATTTATTAGGTATCATTCTTGGAGCATTACAATCAACTATCAAGATGCATTACAAATATAACTAAATAAAATTGGTTTTTCAAAATGAAAAGAGTGTTCAGATTCCTTCCAAATTCGCCTCTAGACACCTAAGACACTTGACTCAAGAATATAATGCACAAATGAAGCAAAAGTTTTGCTTAAGTCCTTCATGCTGCTGCCATTTGCTTTGCGGAACTTTTTTTGTTCCATGGCATTCACTCATTGGCACTTCAAAGAGAATGAATTATAATTGAAATTTGAAATCAAATTTGTGAGAAATGTATAATGCATATGCTAGTAAAAAGCCTTGGAGACATTCATTTTGCTAAATATAATTTACAGAGTATATTTTTCTGCATTTGGGGTTTGGGGTGTTAAATGTTAAAAAATTCCGGAAATACATGACTCAATTATTTTCCGAGAGGACTTTATACATATATATAGTACCTGATTTAGGATAAGCAGAGATGATAATATCATCCTCTCTAGCTTTGAAGTTCATCCAGGTTTTGTACCATTCTGCTAGATCCATACCCGATTCCTTTCCGAACCAGTCAGGGGCTGGAACATTTGGGGCCTGTGACAAGTGAAATACATAGCTCAAGATAATATGCTGACCAGTATTTGGTAATCATTAAAAGTTGGTACTTTGTAATGATGAAATAAAACTATGATACTTTGAGTTCTTCTAAGATATGTTATTTGTTCATTCAAGATGCAAAATAAAAATGAAGAAATTCATATTAATCTTCTAACTCACTTTCCATTTCCTTGGCCAATTGTTAATCCAGTATGTTCCCTTAAAGACTGCACAGTGCATGTTATGCTTAAAGACACATACAACTGACTTCTCTGGATCCAGTTTGCTTATGTCCTCAATATACTCTTCCATAGCATTGTCTTCTGCATTTGCAGCCATTGTCAGTGGAGAGGTTCTTGGCTTTATTATTAGAACTTACTCAAACCTGTGAGTCACTCTGTTGTCTGGTTAAACTTTATATGCACTCTCAAGCTGATAATCTGAAAACCTGTACTGTACATACTGAACATGTACACTGTCTGTACATAATTTTATGATCAGAGTGTTGAACTTTACAATCAATAGCTGATAAATAACACGGTGCCCATGTCAAGCTGCGCGCCTACTTAGGCGCGCAGTTTGTTTCGATCACAAACTGCGTGCCTAAGAACATTGGATCATTTAAGTTGGAGTCTGTATTTTGAAACGTTATTTAAAGACATTTATCCTGCATTGTTTTCTTGTTCAATGCGTTCATTCTGTGGCGAATATACGAATCTTGCAAATACTAGCAAAAACTGTGTGCAAATGAATCTTAGTTTTAAAACATAAGCAGATTAATGGCATTTTCGTCACTGATTTAATGGGAATTTATACGTAAATCGATCTAGCACTTTAAACATAAATGACAAGTACTTTAGACTCGTTTTATATTTAATTCCTTACACATTTATCATGTTTAATTCAAAATATTTCGAAATAAAACAGATAATCAGGAGAAAAGAAATAAACCACAAACTGCGCGCCTATTTTAGCCAGAAATTACAATCTGTGCGCATACACTATTAAAACTACATATTATCATTGGAATTTCTACAGAGGTACGTGTAGGTGTTTTCGATGTAGCTTTGGAAATTTTGCTTTATCGTCAGATTTTATGAGATTTTCATATTGAAAGTCAAAATGTATAATAGAAGTGACAATTAAGTTGGGAACGAAAAAACTTTTATTTTCAGATCACCATCTTGGTGGATGGACTCTCATAGTGTTTCAATTATGGGGTTCTACTATTAGACACATATGTGCCTTGTATGGCGCTTATGTTTTCTAATAATACAAAACAAGCTTGGATAGGCAAGCAGTTTTGAAATATTAGGCACGCAGTTTGGGAAATACATGTGAATATAGGCGCGCAGTTTGACAAGAAAAATGTTTAAATCACGTTTATGGCGTATTATCGTTTTGAACACAAACTTTGCTGTTTTAATCAGATGGAGTGATCCTATATATTCTAGCATACACAGACACAATGGCTGAATAAACGGCAAATGACGATAAAAAGACATAGATATAACTTTACACTGTAAATTTTGAACACAGAAGTTACTTAAGACCCTTATATTGAGATAACTAGGTTTACATCGGGAAAAACATTGAGTACTATGAGTAAATTAAGTTCATCTCCACAGAATGGTACTATCTTTAGAACGAGACTAACCTTGTATTTTTCGTATTTTGGCTCTTTTTGGGAGTCGTGTCCTCCCCGTCTCACATTTTGAAATATGCGCGCAGTTTGTCAGAGTTTCAAACTGCGTGCCTAGTAGGCACGCTGCTTGACATGGGCATCGTGAATAAGATTGTGCACTAGATGTCTTTTTGGGCTCTGAATACATGTATGGAGTACTAAGTGAAGTTGAAATCACATCTATTATATGCCTGCTATTATAGTAGTTGATGTCACATATGCCTATATACCTGTTACTAGTTAATACCAAATCTGGATAACTGTAACTAGATGATATTGCATCTTTCTGCCCAGGTTTTCTGCATGTTACTACTTGATATCACATCTACATGTTAGTTACTAGTTCATTTCACATCTCTTATATGCCCGTAATACCCGTAAATGGTCTTGGTAAAACTTGTAGTCATAACCATGTCTTCAAGCAGGGTGGTTACCACCACATTCATCTTCCTGGAGTTACCAGTCTGCTCCACTTGCTAAGATACTTGACTTGGGCTATGATTTGCTGGAGGAGTTGGTTGGTCCATATTTAGCAATTTCCTGGAGCACCCTGTCGTGTCTCCATGTGAATCTTCCTTCACAGTCAACAGTCACATTTGTACAGGGCCCACTTGTCAGAATTTTTTCCCCATATTCTCAGATTGGCTATTATTGGCAAGAGATCATCAAAAGTGAGAAGAAACTTCCCTGGTCCTGGGTCCAAAGCTCTTTCCAGGTGAGAGGCCTTTTAAGCGCTCCTTCCCAGTAAGTCCAGCTCCCCTTCTTGGCGTTCCCTACTGCTTTGACATGCCTATCTTCTTCAATAGAATGCCTTACCTTTTCTCCTTAGGGGTGACTGCTTGGGGACTGTAGTGTCCAAGCCCTAGATGACCTGTGCATAAGACCCCAACTATGTCTTTGTGTCACAGTCCCTCCTTTCCTTCTCTAATAGATTCTTGAGGTTTCCACTTTCTGCCACAGGTCATGTCTTCACCTACAGTGTTGACCTTCTTGTCTTGATATTAGTTGATATCACATCTACATGTTGGTAATTAGTTGATATCACATCTACATGTCGTTAACTAGTTCATATCATATCTATATGCCTGTAATTCATTTATATCACATCTATATGTTGGTAACTAGTTGATATCACATCTATGTGCCTGTAACTAGTTGATATTACATCTATATGTTGGTAACTAGTTCATATCGCATCTATGTATCGATAACTAGTTGATATCATATCTATATGCCTGTAACAAGTTGATATCACATCTATATGCCTGTTACTAGTTGATATTACATCTATATGTTGGTAACTAGTTGATATCACATCTATATGCCTGTAACTAGTTGATATTACATCTATATGTTGGTAACTAGTTGATATTACATCTATATGTTGGTAACTAATTGATATTACATCTATATGTTGGTAACTAATTGATATCACATCTATGTATCACTAACTAGTTGATATCACATCTATGTGTCTGTAACTAGTTGATATTACATCTATATGCCTGTAACTCACATCTGTATGTCTGTAACTCACATCTATGTATCGGTAACTAGATATCACATGTATAAGCCTGTAACTCACATCTGTATGTCTGTAACTAGTTGATACCCCATTTATATGCCTGTAACTAGTTGATATCACATATATACTCTATGCATGGTGGTATCCGTTCACTGCTTATTTTATCTGGCTGGGTTTGAAAAGATCTCTCTTTTATAAATTGTGTGAACTCATTCTAACTTCAAATATACAAACATACAATATTTATACATACAATATTTATCCATAAATTTGACCCTCTTTTTGTGAATTGACCTCTTTTTAAAACGATTGTAAAATAGTAAAAAGGTTTTCAAAAAATATTCTTTCATTTTGTTGGTGGCTTGGGGATGAAGGAATTACCTAGCCAATGTATTATATAATGGTGCCATCTTATTTCAATATTGCTTTAATCAGATTGTACAATAGCTTGCAATTTGATTTCTAGTAGTTGTTCATGAATTTGTTTCTGTTGTTTGCCATCAGGGAAAACATCTGTAACAATCAGTACACTTTGTAACCATTTGCAGGAGGTGACATTTTGTCATCTTGATGCCTTGTTTCAGTATTGCTCAAATCATATTTTATTTTATCTTTTTATTTTATCTATTTTCAGGGGTTTCAACTCATCTCTGTGCCAGATCTCATACATCCCAGCATCATTGTAAGTGTTTAACTGTTTCCCTTAATATTATTACGATTTAATTATGTGATTACTTTCAACTCCATTTTCGCCCTCATATTTTTGTTACCTAAAAGGCAACATATTGACACTCATTTTTACATAATCAACCATAACAATAAGCAATTGACATATATTTGCAATAATATTTTAATACATGTGGTTAATTACAGATTTAATTGACCCCCTCCCCCTTCCTATATGATTATTTTACTTAAGATTTGATGTAAGATTACAGAATGTAATGGACTCCTTCCCCCAAACATTATTGATTATGATTGCAGGAGATTTATTCATCTTTCCTTTGTTGAGACAGTAAATTGACAGGGCATTAAAGGCCCTGTAAAATATATAATTTATACACTGTGTCTTTCCAATACATTGACACATCCAAGCTAAGGATTATAGGTCCTGTAATGCATTGTTGATTGCAAAGCTAAACCCCAGTGATTCAATAACCTTTCCAATGGTATATAATACTTCACATACCTCCTGACTCCAGGATATTTATACACTAGTTATTGAACTGCCTTTCCATTGATACATACATTTATCAAACTTTGTATATCCTATATTCAGAAGGGGTTGTACACTAGTTATTGTACTGCCTTTCCATTGATACTATCAGTTATCACACGTTTCAGCATGTGATACAGGAAATTTCACGAAAGGTAATACTGTATCATCCACGAAAGCGAAGCTTGAGTGGTGATACATTGTTACCCGAGTGGAATATTTCCTGTATCACATAAGCTGAAACGTGTGATGACGATTTTATCACATGTCTAGGAATTTTGTAGCATTTTGATATGGTCAGTTATGATTGTGTTCAGTACCCTGTACTCCTGGTAACTATTATAATTTTTGATTTCGCTTTGAAACAATATGACGTCATACCGTTGTATTCGTACTTGTTTGTGAAATAGTATGACGTCATATTGTTTTCCTTAGCTTGAAGTGATTTAATCAGTGATGTCACATAGTTGCTATTGACTCCGTAGTGATACAGCCTACCGTATCACATGAAAATCAGTCACGTGTCGTGTGATACGGAATATACATCATCACAATTGACCAATCAAAATGCTTAGACACTCCTAATCATGTGATAAATACATTTATCAAACTTTGTATATCCTATATTCAGGAGGGTTGTGGATTCAGCACTACTGGTGAAAGAACACAAGTTTACAGGCTCAACCCAGAACATGGAGACATCTGTCTGGCAGGCACTGCTGAGATGGCGCTTGCAGGTAAATACAACAATGTGTTTTTGGCAAACATAGTTGAATCACCCATTCACCTGTCTGTGTGTCTATCTATCAACGATTATCAGACAAATGAAAACTTGAGGGTCACTACTCATGATTTTGGAAAAATCAGATTTTTCATCACCAAATTATTTTCACAATGTACTGACTCACCATTTGAGCTCAACAATTATAGTACCATTACTTGTGTACTGATTTCAATTAAAGTGAGAAAATACTATGGGCAGTATTAGGTATTCAATAACATTAATATTTTTTTTTATTTTACGTGTACTAATGAAATATAAAGCAGCTATATCATGTACAGTATAGATCTAGTCAAAAGAGAAAGACAAAAGAGTTCACATTTTATCACAATAAAATAGACATTTACATAGGTATAAACAAATAGAGTATCAAATTTTACAATAGTACATTATTTTTAATTCAAAGTTTCCTAAAATAGTAAGATTAGAAAAATTGAATTACATTTTAAGCTTAAAAACTGCAGCTCGTGCTATTTCACTTCTTAGTAATTTCACAATTATATTTCAATTCAAACTTCTTCGGATTTATTTGGACCACCAGCAAGCTCAATACATTGTTTCCACAAACTTATTGAACGACCTGGAACATGTCAGGGTAATATATGTCATATAATAAATAAATTGTGTCCCTTTTGATGAATTCTGTCATTTGCCATTTTGTTTAATATTTACACCAGCATTATTTGTATTATTGTACTTTTGTTGAATTAGTTTGTTTCTCAAGAAGTTTAAAAGATTATAAAGTAAAATCATAACCTCCGCAATTGATATTACGGATATTCCAACATAAAAGCCTAGGAAACCCCCTGTCTCTGCTATAAGGTTCGCAAGATCAAATGCTTGGGCTTTAGTTGTAACTTTAGTTTCTGACTCCTTGAAGTAGACATTCAAGCGAACAAAGTTGTTTTTTATTGCAGATTTAGTAGTTTCAGTAACTGAGTATATGTCTTTTAAGTCTTTCATTTCCCTGTGAAATCTGTGGTACAGTGTTGAGTTTTCATAGTTTGGCTGTTGCATAATCCAACGTTCATAAAATGATTTAACAGCTCCATCTGTTGGCCACTCTGACTGAGATAGAGATACATCATATGTATGGTATGTGCAATTTTTTGCACATGTTTTGCAGGGTCTCCACGCTGACTTTTGGCATTCTAGCCTATTCAGATCTTCATTAAGAATGGTAATGTTTGGTTCATTTTTCAACCATTCTTTCACATCAAGCTTTCCGCAGAATTGTGCATTTTCCAAATCAGGCTCCAATGGGAGAGATGCCTTTACGCAACCACACTCTTCATAGACTCTCTTCTGTTGGCACCGTTTGATGCAAGAATTCATAGTATGTACAAACCCTCCAGCATCCAATGCAGAATAATCAACACAATTACCCCACGGTTTCTTCATCAGTTCACGTCGATTTACTGACAATGCAGCATTAACGGAGTGACCTGGCTCAATGTCAGATCCATCCTTTTCTGGGTCAGGCAAGGATCCTCTTTCATGTATGACAACCCTAGCCCCATTACTGCCAGATGTTGGGTAATTTGGGTCGTATAAGGTCATGCTCAGCTTCGAAACATCTAGATATAGAATCATGGAAAGTCCACTATTTGGCCCAACAGTTGTTTTAGCAAAATCTGGCAGAGACCTACTAGTGCTGTAAGTAAAACAATTGTAATGCTCATGGTGTAAAGATGTTGTTATATCGCTCCGATTGCACATATTTTCCATGTAAGTACACGATGTTATGAAATCATCTTTGTTATGGCTGTAAACTAATATTTGCATAGCATTTTCATAATATCCTTGATATGAAACCAGTTGATTGATGTAGTCCTTGTATAATGTATTATGTTGGGGTGTCTTTCTTTCTGTAGGTAAAATATTATTTGTTAAGTTATGGTAATCTACAATTTCATAATAAATGTTTTGCCGGTACATCAATTGGTGTGTGTGTGCTATAGGATTCAATGGGCACACTGTCACTGAAGGAAATTCCAATGGTTCATCTCTCAATTCCACTATGTCTTTCGTTTCATATTCAAAATATTTAGAAATTGTCCCAATTATGGATGCTATTGCTAAACATGTACAACCTAACGTGAAAATAATCCATACAGTTTTTCCCAACGTTGATGATCTTTGAGATATATTTCCCCACCCATGAGCTGTTGTGTGGTCGGCAAATTCTTCAACAACTTTCTTCATGTTATACGTCATGGAAAATTCCGGGAAAAATAAGCGGACCAATGAGATGTTTTTCTTTAGATATCCATATGAAACTTGTTGGTTCTATATATTTGCGGTTTTGTTACATTTTTGTCACATTTTAACAATCAAAAATCTGCCACTGGATATCAGGAACTGTGGCCAGAATTGATACCCTTATTTGATATAAAGTTTAACATTGATTTTCCCATAATGTAAAATATCCATGTGGTATCTACATATTGTTCTTAATAGAGACTAAAATGTTCCAAGTATGGTTCATTGATCGTTAAAAGGTTTTATGAGACATTATTGCTGTTTGTTTGGTCTATTGGTCAAATGTGAAAATCCACGTAAGATTTTATAGTATAATCTAACATAATCCTTAAATGGAAAACCTTAATAACTAGTTATACATTAGAGTGTTCCAAGTGTAATCAAGTTAGCTATCACTTACTTGTCCGTCTGTCCATCCATCTGTCCGTCAGTCAGTGTGTCCATCAACAATAATTTATACCTCTGTTGATAGGAATACCGTTTTAACATCAGTTCAGTAAATCCCTCCTGGTTCTGGTTCTGACTCCTGGTTCAAAATCTAACACCATGTGAACCAGTACCCATGGTTCTATTTATCATACATTTTTTGCTATAACTTCAAAAGTAACTTATTTTTGCTGATATTTCATTTGTAGGTAAACAGAAGCATGAGACATTTATCTCAATTCGAATTGTCCATTTTGAAAAATGAAGTGTCATTTAACATTTTATGTTATAACTTGAAAAGTAATGATATGATTTTGTTGAGAGTTTAAAGATGTAAATAAATACACGTGTAGCAAGAATGACTTATTATATTTTGACAATTCATCTATTAGATATAGTATGCTGACCATCAATTTCTAGCAGTTTTGTCTGAAACCTTCAAGATGTTGTTAGGGATTTGCTATGACTTTGCTTTGCCATTATCTTGCTGATTACAAATTCTTGTTCTTCAGGTCTACATATGAATAAAACTGTTGAATTAAAGAAGTTGCCAATGCGCCTTATGGCTGTGAGTAGATGTTACAGGGCAGAAACATCATCTGCCACAGAGGAGAGAGACATCTATAGAGTGCACCAGTTCACAAAGGTATGGGGAGGGTCTATAAGAGTCCACGAGTTTATCTATTCTAACACCTACTGTATGCATTTCAGAAGTTTTTCATAATTTCTTATAAGCAGTCATATCTATGCAGCTTGTTGTATTTCAATGATTTATGATCTTCTACATCAAGACATTTAGATGGCTTTAGTTCTTTATCATTCCAAGGATCTTTATTATATCACTCTTCAACTTCCTATCACAGAGAGAAATCGCATCCAACATAATAAAAATTGTCAAACTGTTTACCATTTTTCCCTGGACCATTTCTTCAACATTTGAACCACATATAGTAAGAAACCCATTCACATTCATAATTAATTTCTCTTTTGGAAGTAAAGGGTGGTCCTGAAAAGGACCGTTTGGGTTGTCCTGACAAGGACGTTTGTCCCTAAAAAGGGCCGTTGGATTTTCAGGATTGTCATCTACTCTTGCATGTCAAGTTCATCATCGTCACTTATGATCTCGTACTCTGAGTCATCATCTTCGGGAATGCTGAAGTTGGGGATGGTTTGAGCCTTGGCCTTGAGTTCCTCCACCTTGGCAGCCTGCATTGTTGCATACTCGTACATCACGCACTTCAGGCCTGTCATGGAGGACAGGTTTAGTCGGAGAGTGTAGCGGAATGACTGCTTGCCATTCTTCACCGCACGCTCATAGCGAACTTGCAGCTGCCGCACTTTATTGTCAATCAACAGCAATTGGTCACATGACTTGGTGAACTTCCTGTACTGGATTTCAATCTCGTTCAGGATAAACTCATCAATGGAAGCGCCATGTATCTTCTCAAGCTCTGTGAAGTTGTAGAACTTTGGTTGCTCTTGAGTCATCGCCATTGTTGTGTGTTGTATAAGCTGTTGTTAGACTGAGATGTTTGCTGTATGATAGCTTTGTGAATAATGATTTCTCTCTGAAACATCTTGTATTTATAGCAATTATTCCATGACATCTGTCAGGATGTCCAGTGTCAACACTTATCAATATTGATCTGACATTTCCATGCCACATTTTGTCAAAAAAATATTATTCTGAAATGGCAGGAACTAAGATGAAGATCAAAGATGCCAATTTACTTTAATCTCTTTGACATCCTGGAAATCTTTATTTATTTAACCATTCAACATTAATAGGGTAGCACTTATAAATATTGAGATCAAATTCTAATTGGCTTAAAGTAAATGAGCTCTATGAACTGACAGGTAATTAATTATTAGCATCCTTGATCTTTACCTGTGAATAATATGGGCCTGTGATTGGTAATTTTAAATAGAAAAATAAATGAATAATGATAAATAGCATTAAGTAATACTTGAATTTATTGAGAGGTCTTGACAGCTTACATCCAACGCAGAAGTTCAAACTTTTCTCATCTCTGATTTCAAGATTCAAGATCCCATTCTTGTAATTGTTATGAAGTAAAATTGATTGATCTGGGAGGGGGGCTATATGGTAGAATGTCCCTCATTGTCTCATTCCTGGCGACAGGGCAGCCCCTTCCCCTTGGTCAAAAATGCTTCCAAAGTAAAGCAGTTTTTCACCATTCGGACCATAATTCAAGTGATTATAGGCAAAAGTTGGCAAATGTAAACCCTCCTTGTAATTTACAGGCCTGCAATTTACGGGCCTGCAAGGTATCATTCTTCTTGTTGTACCAATCCCTTCACTGTGTGTCCTTTACTTCTAGGTTGAAATGTTTGGTCTGACAGAGGGGGATAAAGAGAAAAGTGGAGCACTGCTGAGAGAATTCAAATCCATACAGAAAACTCTATTTTCAGAATTAGGACTTCATTTCAGGTAGGTAACTATCATTAGGGCTGTCAGCTAGGGGCTTACAATGTACAAATATTGTTCTGTATGTACATGAATTCATCTTGAAAAAATCCATGTTTCATTATTTTTTCTTTAGTTTTATGATTTAATGCCATCAGGCCATGCTTCTAATGTGTACTCAACTGGTGAAAATGTACAAAATCATGGGCTTTCATGGATAAAAACATAGGCTTGAAAGCCCATAAAAAATGTAGTGAATACGTAGATTCAAAATCACTTTAGATAGATTTTAGTAAACCAATATTTGGATATTATTATTCTCATGCCCTCATGCCTCTATTTCTCACTAATTGCTCTTTTTCGCTCTTAAAAATGACTACATGGGCATAATTGTGTATATACAGCACTCATCTTTCCAGGGTGCTAGACATGCCTACACATGAACTAGGGGCACCAGCATACAGGAAATTTGACATTGAGACGTGGATGCCACATAAACAATTCTGGGGCGAGGTAAGTCTCTCCACATAGAATAGAGACTGGCTTTTACACTCTGAAGTCTGAAGACTCGCTCCACATTGAATAGAACCTTGTGGGGCCATGTACCCTAATTTATTGACACCATAGTCTAGTGCAATGAGCAAATCCACTGGAGTTTCCATGAGTAAGAAATGATCATAAGCAACAGTAAAACTAAAGTGAATAAGCAAAAACCTCATCCGTCCTCTCTTATTATCATATTATGACATAAATACAGTACTACTTAGAGACAAACTGAGAAATTACAATAGTGCCCAAAAGTTTACTGGCGAGATCCCTGACTTTATATTCAAAAGCTAATTGATGTTATGGCATTCCAGAACCATTGACATTGTTCTACTGACATCTGACTATTGACATTTGAATAGTAACCTATAAATCTTGACATGAGACCATGGCATGTAACTATTGATTTATTCCTTGTACATTCTGGTCTAGTTTTCAAACTACATATATTTGCCCCTGGGTATTTGCCACTTTAAAACATGAGTATCATGCCTCATTCAGCACTTCTTGTGATTTGTCTTTGACCTATGACTGCTGACCTATACCGGCGATTACTAGAGTGCTGCTAACTCAATAAAAGGCTGGCGCTGGCTAGAATTGTCTATGGTTCTAGCCAGGATAAAGATACCAGTTCTTCAACTCGACAATGGGAAGAACTGCTCTACCTTAGTGACTAATATGTCATGATATGACATCTAAAGAGTCAATAAAAGATATAATAATGTCCTTGTTTAAACTATTTTCAGATTTCCAGTTCGTCAAACTGTACAGACTTCCAAACAAGAAGACTTCACACAACTTACAAAAACCCTGAGGGAAAACTGAAACATGTTCACACTGTAAGTTTGATATGAGAGAACTTTTATGTAGTTTGCATTGTCATACATTTGTTTAGAATATAAGTACATGTAAGTAAGTGTGCATGTATGATATTCAGTTTTTTCCTTTATTTGTCTGCTTATACGGACACTAAGAAGAACTCGGGAGAAGCATCGAGTTTTTCCGATCTAAAAATGATCAGAAATGAAAAGAAGAATCCAGAATTACATGTACATGTACTTGCAATTTGCCCCATCTAAAGACTTTAATACAATCCGTTTTTGTAAATACAGTAGTACAGCCTAAAAAACCAACTTAGTGAGCAATTTCTTCGAGCCTTGTTATTTTCATGGTAGAATTTCTGTATTAGAGTCAAGTAGTGGTGTATACTGCAGAATGTGAACTGTTTTAGAAACAGAAAAATTAACTAATCCACTCTATTTCATTACTAATGTTCCAGGTAAATGGAACAGCGTGTGCGATACCACGTATGATAATGGCACTGGTGGAGACCAATCAGAACAAAGTAAGAGATAAAATTGTATATTTTTGCATCAAAAGTCTGAATTTTTGATACATCACATACATATCTTGTATAATTGTATTAAGAGAGTATTTATTCTCTCAAGAAGGGAAGACATGTGAACATATCATATTTCATCAGCTCCAGAATGCTTTTTTATGTCACCACCACAAGTAAACAAATGGCAGGTGGTGACATTTTGCATATTAATGCTTTGTTTAATTAAGTGATCTAGATATTTTCCACTAATTAACAATGAAACATTTGTCCATTTATGTCTCAGAAAAACATCAGTTTCTATAAAAGATGTCAGGATTGTTGTATCCGTAAGTTTCTATATTTTTTAAAAAAATGAAAAGAATTTTTCAAAGGATGAGTCTGGGAATGAGTCTGGGTATCGACTTAGAAAATATTGAAAATTGTAATGTCTGAAAAACCAACTCAATCAGACATATTATTAAACTTCAATATCTTATCCTTCTTCTGAGATTACAAAATATAAATTTGTATCACAATTGATGAAGAATATTGGCATCAAAGACAGTGCATATCACTTTGTCAGAATTGAAAAAAATCAATGGCAAATATTAAATGAATTATTTATGCAAAAAGTTTGAAACATATCTTCCAAAACACTGGTTACTTTCTTTGTATAGACGTTGAATGGTATTTCTGGATAATTGAATTGGTGTTTATCTGGGTAATCAAGGGATTATAGTCACTCAAAGTTACTGAGCATCCAGTTTTGAGACTTCAATTGTGTTGGTGATGTTACACATATTTCAGTCAAATTCATGCTGAGCACAACATTTTGGTTTCAATTTTATAATCTCTATACATGGCCCTGGTGATGAAGAGTCAGAATCAGTCAAAAAACCTAAACCGGAAAACTGTGCTTATTGTGAAAACTAAAAGTGAAGCAACTTTTTTTCTGATATTTCTTACATCAAATGGCAACCATCTTGTTTTTCCCCCTTCAAATTAAAGTGGCGGGAAATTCAAAAATTTGAAAAATCTTTAATCCTTAAATATATTTCAAAAATTTGATTTTCTTTTTAATTCTTCATGGGTCTTAAGTTATTTCTTCTTTGTATGTCATAATACATGTTGCCATTGGTGTTTTTTTTCCATGATTTTGTTAAGATACTTATTCTGACTCTCAGCAGGGGGTTAATTATGCATCAAAACTCGTGAAAAAGTAAATATACTTATCAAATATAAGTAGGACAGTAATAAAAACCATATTTCACACACATTTGACTGAGGGACAAAAAGGGCATATACCCAGACACATCCTTTCAGAGCCGAATATTTTCAATTTCTTAAATTGTGTAACTAAACCAATTCATATTCCTGGTGATTAAAGTTATACAGTATTTGTCTCATCAAATTATGTAGCCTCTTATCATCTCAAATTAAAATAAAATAAAATTGAGAATTGTAAATATTGTTTTTATTTCAGGATGGTACAATAAATATTCCAGAGGCATTGCAGACATATATGGGAGGAGACAAGACAATAACTAAGTCACCAATAGCCACACCCTTGAACTGGTTAAAACTGAAGGAATGAGTAGAATATGCAGACTATGTGATCTTTATTATGCTGTTATAAACAGTACATCACTACCCTGGGGGATATAGATGTACCCATACATCCCAGTTATTATTCAATAAGGAGCAAAGTTGGGAGCTTGACAAAATTGGGCCTACCTTAGGAAATGCATTCTGGTTAATCAGACCCCTCTTATCTGTCATTTGGAAAGATCGGGACAAAGAGAGTGTGTAGTTATCGCAAAGCAGGACATGGCATAAACTCAAACATGGAGTAAAAATACAATGAGTCAAAGTACCATGTATAAACAGCTTTGTAGAAAGAATTGTAAGACTTAAATTACATTACAAATACAGTGTCGTCTCTACTGTATAAAAAATGTTTTAATGATTTGACACTTATAATTATGTTTTAACAAATTTAAAGACTTGAGGATCAACATATTAAAGAAAGAATCAGATCTAGCGACCAGGCCAACAAAAAATTGTTTCAATTTTAGAATATTTTGTAAAGAATAGATTGGTAGGTCAAGTGTATATGTTGCTTGTAATTTTGTCACCCCTATAGATCTTATTCTTCCTTTAATAAGTAAGCTAATGGGTGTAATTATTAGAGGTGTGAATTTTTAATCGATCATCGATTAATTGATCGACACGCATTTAATCGAATAAGATTCTTATTACTCAATTAACTGATTCTCAAAAAGTTAATCTTCAATATCCCGCCGCGAGTAAGCTTACGTGACATCACTGACTGATTGAGCAGTGTATGTCAGGTTGCCACGCCAAGCTCAAACTACCAAACAAACTAATTACCCTAAGACTGACGCTTATCTGTGACCTTTGTTGTTTTTGAGTTTAATACTAATCCAATACATCCCATTGGTTTATTCAGTAGAAGTATGCGATCAAATTCAAGGTGAATAGTGGTGTATAATTTGAATGCAACCGTCCCAATTTTATTCAGTTCAGAAGCGGTTGAAAAATGGCGACAACACCAGGAAAAAGAAGTTATATATGGAAATATTCCAACAAAGAAGATGATGATCGCGTCAAATGTGTGCTCTGCAATACTAAATACAAATATTCAAACAGCTCATCTACTCTAAGCTACCACTTGTCAAATGCACACGGGGAAAATCCGAAAATAAAAATCCGACGGACCCCTGGTTCCATTTTAAGTTTCACCCACAATGCAATGCGTGATAACAAAACAAAAAAAATATTGAAATATAATCTTTTATTGTAAAAATCGTCTGAAATACAGAAATATATACCTTGATACTACCAATACACCTGAATGGGAATTTACAAGGAAAACTTGAGAAAAGGTGTGTGAAAATAGCTCTGATGATTAATCGATTAATATGTTTCGTTGATCGATTAAGTAATGTACCATCGGTGCACACCTCTAGTAATTATGGGCTGAGAAAGCCCAAGGTGCAATTCCCATTCTTAATGACCCTTAATTATTTTTAATCCCTAATGATATCTAACTTATACAATACATAACTTCCAAATAATCTTCTTTTCTGCAATTATTGAAACTCTCAGAAAAATTGTTTACTAAGAGAGTTAATTAAATTCCTTTTGAAATTGAAAAACTTTTGAGTATTCCTTTTGAGTTAAGGACTTATTCGAGATTTAATATCTTTAGAAATGGAGGTCTTTGTCTGAGTCCATTGATTAAGTTACATCTCATTCTGAATTCAAAGTATACCATAATTGTTATGAGGGTGAGTCATTTGGGCAGCTATTGACCACAAAGTACCAATAAGTACAAAGGGAACAACTAACTGATAAAATACAGCTAATAATGGATAACAACAACAATTATCGTTAATGATAGACTTGATGCATATGTTTTATGACTGTTGTATCACATCATCTTCTGTTTAATGAAGACTTCATTTCAAGAGGATTAATATTTAATTCTGCTATATCATTAAGCCATTATGTTATTACTTTCTTTGTGAAGGAAATAATTTGATTCCGTTAATTAAAATGAAATCAACTGAAATGCCAGAGTTGACTTGCGGGAGTGAATGGCAGATAGCTTAGCTTGAGCAATAATTGAGACAGGTTAATCTTTGAGTTAATAATATAACAAAACAAGAGGAAGTATATGTTAAAAACTTATTTAGCTTTAATGAAGATCTAGTAAGGTAATTATATTCAACAGGATAACCCTTTTGTTATGTCACCACCAGGTTATGTCACCACCAGAAGTGGTGACATAATGTTATTGTTACTTTTTTTGTGGATGGTGTATGTCAGTTGATGTTTGGCATTCGTCGTCTGTCTGTACTGTCAACAAATATAAATGTGTCATGAGTTCCAACAAATTTCTGCCAATATCTGTTATCATGGCAACAAATAAGTGGACATTGAAGGTCAAAAAAAAGTATTTTTCAATGCTTTAAATTTTGCTTTTTGAAATATTGCTTCCAACATTTTACCCTTTATACTTTGTTGCCTTTAACCATGAATAACTAGAAAATGGCAACCCCACAGAGTGGATAATCCCACTGAATAAATTATTACAAAATATACCTCAATATAATATTTACAAGCGAGTGTTAAAAACCCTCAATTTGCACATTGGTGAAAGCTCAGAATTCGCATCAAATCAATGTTCAGGTGACTATTTTGAATTTTAAAGAAGTCAAATCCATAAGAACTGAAGATACTATATGTGATCTACTTTAAATACATTTGATTTTCAGTTAATCTGAAAACATAGGATCAAATCCTATGCTAAGGGCTGATGTGAAAAAGACACTCCACCCTGGTGAGAATCGAACCCACAACCTCCCGATTACATGTCAGGTGCTCTACCACTTGAGCTACGGAGCCAACTACGTAGCGGTACTTTGAAAAGCTCTCCTTATTAATACTATTGTAAATTCTTCCATTCGGTGGCCATTTTGGATTTCCAAGGAGTGACTTAGAAAGTTGGAACAGTTATGTTGTGCTCTACTCCAAAATATCTTTAATTATCCCATCAAACGAAGTTCGGAGGGATATAGGAAACGCCTCTGTCCATCCGTCCGTCCATATGTACGTCCGTCGGTTCGTCCGTCCATCCGTCCGGGCAATAACTCAAATACTGTTGGCCTGATTTTGTTCATATTTTCTATACATATACCCTATGGGAGTACAAGTTCTGCTCAAAAGGTAATTTTCAAAATGGCCGCTCATTTATTTAAAAGTGGCGGCCATTTTAGTGTCGATTTTACAGCAATTTAGGTTCAATATGTAAAACTGTAATAGCAATATGTTTTAAATGTAAAAAAAAGTAGTGGAGCGATTTTGTTCATATTTGGTATGTGAATACTATAAGCATGGCACACTGTCTAATGACATTTTTGGTAGAAGGCGGCCATTTTGAAAAATGGCCACCATTTTAACGTATTTTGCTATAACTGGAAAAGTAGTGGAGCGATTTTGTTCATATTTGGTATGTGAATACTATAAGCATGGCACATTGTCTAATGACACTTTTGGTAGAAAGTGGCCATTTTTGCTATAAACTTTGTTTGTAAAAATACCAGCCATGGGTGTTTGATGGGATTTGCTACGCTTTGGCGTTGCTGTTGTCTGGTTTGAGTATAATACAGCTTCATGATCCTCATACATGCCTCCTGGGGGCAGGCTGAAGAACACGGAATATATGAGGAGTAGGTATATTAATTAATAGTAAAAGCCACATTTTCTTTAAAGTTCCCATGTTCTCAAACCCTGCACATGAGTGCAAGGGAAAATCTGTCTGCTGGTATTTGAGTTATTTTCTTAAACGGCGGACTGATGGACAGAGGGCTTCTTTAAGATAATATGAAATGAAATCAGCGAGTGCACGAGCTCAATACCATACATTGTTGTTAATATTCTAAAAAATCAAATCCTCTCATTTTTTCTGTGAAACATATTTGATTTATGAGTAGACTCTTATCAGGACATCTTGTGTAAATGATGAACAATTAAAATAATCTCATGTTTACAATTGTTGTTATTCCAGATACTGTTGTGCATTGTAATTGCATAGAGATATTGTAGAATGCCGGAAATTAGTAATACTGGTTGTGCTTGTAAATAATCCAGTGTTTACCTGAAATTTCGGTAGGTCAGTGATTTTATATTCTAACATAAGGCCAGAGTAAATAAACAGTATTAATGAGTATTAAACTACAATGTAAAAAGCTCCAAATCTGTTAAAATTAGCACATGCATATACCCGGTACTTTGATAACAATTCCTATTCTATTGGACATGATTAGTAAAATTTTTAGGATAAAGAAAAATGAAAGACACATGTCATTCCCCTTTCCTCAAACAAAAATGTAATGATGTTAAACATACAATTTTGGAATAGTTACTCTGGCCTCAGTTAAACAACAAGTTATCATGTTAGATATTTCCCTTTATCAAGTTATCATGTACATATTTTGAGGATATAAGAAAAATGAAAGACACGTGACATTCCCATATCCTCTAACAAAAATGTAATTATGTTAAACGTACAATTTTGCAATAGTTACTCTGGCCTCAGTACTTAGTTAAAGTTATCAATAAGATATTTTCCTTTATCAAGTTATCATCCTCAATGAGCTTATATCAATATCTGGACAAGTGGTTGAAGTGAATGAGTGCAGATATTGATATACAGATGAGTGGATTAAAACATTACAAAAAATATGGGATATGTTCTATTTTTATGGGATGTCCATTTTTCAACTTAGCACAGTTTCGTGATATCATAAAATGATATCTCTCAAAATCATAGGATATCCTATACATATCACATGGCAGGAGTTTTTTGTATCAGCGAAAAATTAGTAATATGTCCTCCAATTACATTGATAACCCTTTTTTCACATATTTGATAAATATGATAATAAAAGTAATTGCATGTTACATGCAGCTTTGACATGGGACATAGTCCTGTTTCGAGTTGATCATTTTAAGATATTATTTTGTATCAAGACTTCTCTGTCAATTTTCCCAGACCATGTTTGAGATAAATACATGTACGCATGATGTAGGAGGATTTCTTTCATACTCCATAGTAGACTGTAATGAGATACATACAGGGACATACAGTAATTACTGATTCTCTTAACCAGAAAAGTAATATAAATGAATTATTTATAATAATAATAAAATTGCATGAAATCAATATTGACTAAGGCTACATACAAACTGTTAGCGTTTTATGAGAGGTGTGGGTGTTGGTGGTGTGCTGTAACCCAATATCGTATACTTTATTCCTTTGACCATTAGTTCCTGAACTTGACACACAGGAGATCATTTTATTTAAAAATATGAATGATCATAACAATGTAACTTTATACCTTACAGTTAGGTAACGTTTATATTGTAACTTGATCTCTATTCTCTACAGACCCTCTTTCCAACCAGGGAACTTCATAATTCCAAATGACAGTCATGCATCAAAATCATGCAGTTTTTCACCATTCTGAGCACTTTTGAAGTGATTATGGCCATTTATGGACCAAAATTGTCAAAACCAAACCACCCTGAAGTTTTTCAGAAAGTCAACCCCCTTTGGCAAATCCTGGTTACAGCCTGCCATGTGTACAAAGGGACACATATAGGCCATTCACATTAGTCCAACTTCCTTAGTTGATCCTCATTGTTTGTTGCAAAGAGAACCAAATGTATCAAAAGACATTCTACTCGTAAATAAGTCAGTGGCATTTAAGAATTGATGAGAATTTGTCGAAGTTTTACAGCTGGGTTTGAAGGAGTGAAAGCACAATATAATATAATGTAAATAGTTACTACATCAAAAGATAAACACTTGGAGGTGTTTTTTTACTGTTCAGAGTTAACTTGACACGAAATAGTAATTGAAACCTCATTTATAAGTATCTCAGTCTCAGTTTGATACAAGATAGATTTCATAAAATAATGTTTCTATAGTATTCTTAATATCTGAAAACACGCACTTTTTCAAGCCGATATCTGTATATTAATTTCAACCATTTAACACTATACCTGCACTTGTAAAACAATATAAAGATACCTGGTTTGCAATATTTACATACTGATTCAAGGATAATGAAGCTATCAGACATAAATTAAACATTTATGTTTTATATTTTTTCTTCAAACATTCAGATTCAGGTGAATGTCAGTCTTTATTGATAATAGATAAATAAATAGTTTATATCAGTAATAAAAACAATATTAAGCATGATCTTAAAATTGGATTTTTATGAACTTATGAAAACTACTCTTTTTAATTCAAACATGCCAATCTTTCTATGAGCTTTAAGTAACATGTTCATAAACATTATAAGAACTAGAATGTGTCATACAAAATGATCTGATTGCTAACCAGAATTTGGATAATTGAACTGTCATTCATCTTGTCATATATAGCTGACATATGTTTAATATTTAAACTCAATCATAAAGGACTGATCAAAACTGTATTTGCTTGTGTTTCTCAGATGCTAGATGCTGTTACTGGTATCCTTTTCATCCCAGGGTGTACGCCTATATTAACCTATATCAATGATAAATATTGGAAGGAGTAATTATTTAAATAATTGACAAACATTGTTCCAGTTAGTTTTGCCCTCACTTTGCATTTATGTTTATTGTATTTAACATAATCTAAGTTTCACATAGACATGGTTCTGTTACAACATCAGCCATGTACCCAGACCCTTTTGCAATATGAATCTTTCCCTGGGGGTCAGCACAAGTCCCGTTCCCCACAGGCTCCGGGTTTGTGCAAACTCTCACCCTTGATCTCCTTCCCTCTTCGGGACAGCCATCACATTTTGTCCAAGAGCTAAATTCTCCCCAACCACCCTCTTGAGAGATGATGCTATTAATCCAGTCGACGTAATGGGCGACTTTAGTATAAACCCCAGACATGAGGCCACAGTCATCCGGGGGTCCCCAGCTGATGATGCCATATTGTCTAAAGTAACCATCACCACTACAGATCAATGGGCCTCCAGAGTCTCCAAAACATGCATCCCTGTAATATAGGTATTGAAATATTCAATTATTAGTGGGTGGCATTTTTTGGGTCACCTTGTACCTGTAAGAATATTTTGATTTTTATATGCATCAGGTAAACGATATCAGACGCATAAGGGGCTGATAAACGATTTTCTGAAGAATATCACATGGATCTCCATAATAGAAATATCACTGGCTGTTATTATTGCAGATATCACAATAATCGAGTAATTAAATTCACAATAACACACTCCATCATGTGATAGTACCATTTATTATATAACCATTTAGCTTGATTGGTCAAATACAGGTTTTATGACATCAAATATTCATCGTATCTAGGTGGTATTCACCAGTCATGCACATCATCGCATGAGAAATATTCCAGAAAGCATTAAGGAGGAGTTTGAAAAATGCACAGATATTCACATCGAATAAAAGAAATATTTATTGTATCGTAAAAGTATTGATTGATACTGACTTATATATTGTATGTAGTTTTTTTTATGATACTAATTTATTATAACTGAATATTTATATTACCTAAGTTAGAAATATGTCGTTGACGAGAAATACTTGTACTACATAATTGTAGATATATGAAAAAACTTGAGTATACCATATATACAGGGTGGTCCAAAAAAATGGGACACTCGTATTTCCAAAATAAATATTGATTTTCTTGATGAAAACATATCATATTATATACCAGTGGATACGAAATTTACTCATCTTTGATTTGGTATACCATAAGTTCAAATTTATTATAATGTCTGTCAACCAGTGTCCATAATATAAATGAATGGGTTTTCCAAAACTTGCAAAAACCAAGTTTTTTTGTCAACTTTATTTACATAAACAGATATTCAATATGTCCACCATTTTGATCAACTGCCCTTAGTTTTGGCCTAAACTGGACAATAGCATCATTGATATGCTGTTGAGAAAATGAATTTCCCTTCTCAACAATTCTATCCTTAATAAGGGACTGAGTAGATGTAAGGGGGTCAATATTAAACCAATTCTGTTAGTTCTCCCAATATGTGGTCATCACAGACGTTGATATCGGATGATCCAATTATGTTGATTTTGGACCATCCTGATATGAGCATCATTATTATTTATTTTTGAAATATGAGTGTCCCATTTCTTTTGGACCACCCCAGGGGCGGATCTGGGAACCAACAAGGGGGGGGCCCAAACTTGTGGTCTGAGAAAAAAAGTCCGCGCTTGCGCGGAAAAAAATTTTGGGCCCCATAAACCCAAAAGTGGGCCCAAATTTTGAGGCCCATTTTCTTCAAAATTTGGCCTAAAATTAACAAATAAGGCCTTACAAGGCCAATTTATGACCAAAAAGGCCTACTTTTTGAGCAAAATTTTTTTTGGGCACAATTTTTTTTTTCTGGGCCAACCCAAGGGGGGGGGGGCCCGGGCCCCTGGGCCCCCCCCCCATATCCGCCAGTGCACCCTGTATTTGTATCATATATTTATGGTATATGATCACTGATGTCAAGATTATTTAACCCACGAAAATTCAATTCAAGATAAAATTATCTAAATTACAGTAAAATCTGTCTACATAATTCAGACCAGCCAAAAGTGTTTGGATTAGCAGGTGTTCACATTTTAATGTTTTTTCAAAATGTAGTTCAATGGAAGATAACATGAAAAAGTGTTCACATTGAGAAGTGTTTGGATTAGAGAGGTGTTCAGATAGACAGGTTTCACTGTCATGCTATGATATATTGTGTGTAGGGACAGTTGAGTAGCCTATGTACATGATGTAGATGTGTATTTAGCTGTGATAGAATACAAAGTATGAGAATTAAAAATGTTGTTACAGGTTATAGTTAAGGATTAAGATGATTGTAATAATATAAAGAGGTTGATTGTTTCAGTAACCCGGAACTGAGCTCTTTGATGTATGTTGGAAGTGTCATGATAAATAAGAGAATTTGTAGATCAATTCTTTTTTTGATGTTATTATACTTGACTGATAACGGTGAAGATGAAGAAAGTTGACTCAATGTTGCTTAGTCTATATTGGAGTTGGAATTTAGGAAAACAAGGTTCTACAGAGTGACCCAAAAATGCAGCTCTAATTCTGAAAAAACTCAATTTTTACATGTTGGAGTCTTCTCGAGTTTACGCATTACTCAATGGTTTGCATGAGACCCCCACTATGTTAATTAACTCTCAATGGTGATCATAGAAGAAAGATTGAACTAGCCAGTGAACAAATACACGAGCCAAAATAGATAAAAACTAAGTTGTGCCAAATTCAGTGTCCCATGTGGGAATCGAACCTGAGACCTCTCAGTTTAGTATCCTGCCAGCAAATAATGCTATGATGATACATACCTCCCTTCTTTATGGGCACAGAACATGGTCTCATTCACCACCCAAGACAGTTCCTCTGGTGGTAGCTGACATGGTTGTGGTTTCACAAACGCTTGAATAAGCAAGTTAGATTCCATATAGTTTATGGTGTTAACTGATCCCCATCCCATTATCAGACATTTCATCTGTTTTGTTGTTTCATAGGTCATCTCAGAATAAGTTGGTAGTAGGACTGGCTGGATGTGATCGTTAAGCTCAAAAGGAGGATCAATGACTAGAACTGCAATGTCATTTTCAACCTCCCCATTTTCATAATCTGGATGTATCTTTATATCTTTCGATTTCCTACTTGCAGTTCGTTGCTGCTCATTTTCTTCAATCATGCTCAAATCGTGCTTCCCAGCACGAACGAGGATATGTTTTTTGAATTCTACACAGTGGGCAGCTGTTAAAACATGCCGTGGGCTGATCAACGCTGCCCCGCACCCAAGCCCATCCAGATATACCATCCAGGGCCATCTATGCTCTGGCCGAACAACAGAGCCACCTATAATACGACTGTGGGCTCTCAGAGGTAGCAGAGGTAAGCCGGGATGTGGACATTTGTCCTCGTTACAGTTTTTGAAGAAAACGATGTTCTCGATGCAGGGTGATTGGTCAGCTCTGCTTTTGAGGTAGGAGACCTCTTCATCATCATAGCATTGACTGACCCTAGCTTGACGGGTACACACGTCTCCATCTAGACATGGCGAATAGTCACTTGCATTCCCTGTGGGTAAAAAATCGTCTGTTAATTAACTAGTCTACGTAATCATCAAAAATATTTAACATCATGTCTCACTTTTAGAAATAGATTAAAACAGTGGAAGGAATTAAAAACCTTTGAATTGCGAAACGTCTTGATACCGTTCAGAAAATACTTATAATACTACTAATACTAAAAAATAAAGCGATTAATCAAGTTGGGCACTTTGTATCCGTCTTAATGAAAAACGACAACGTTTTTAGGTTGTAAGCCTATATGTTTCTATAACACTGAAATAGGCATCTATCAGATGACAGTTTTCCCGAGTGGTTCCAAGACCAAATATATGTGAATCAAGATCAAGATCAATCCTTTCCTATATGTAAACAAATAATTGCGTTAATTAAGACAGTTAACATGGTTTCATAAAAGTAACTGTCCATTAAAAAAGACGAACATTTTTTTGGCCCAACCTGTAGATCTACTACATTTTTTCTTTCATAACTGCTTAACGTAGTAAACAGTAATATGCATATCGTACAGATTGTAAACATAAAGCCAATAACCTGGAACAATGTAAATTTATTGTATAATAAAAATATTATTCATCTAAAATGCAATCCTAGATACTCTAGATATCATAGTGGGGAAAGAGGAGGAAATACCTCAAAATTAATAGATAAAATATTATTCATATAGACTGCAATCCTAGATACTCTAGATATCACAGTGGGAAAAGAGGAGAAAATACCTCAAAATTATTAAATAAAATATTATTCATATAAACTGCAATCCTAGATACTCTAGATATCACAGTGGGAAAAGAGGAGGAAATACCTCAAAATTAATAGATAAAATATTATTCATATAAACTGCAATCCTAGATACTCTAGATATCTCAGTGGGGAAAGAGGAGGAAATACCTCAAAATTAATAAATAATATATTATGAGGTAAGACTGTTGAGAAATGAGTTGGTGTAATTTGTTCAGCTTCGGTGATTTGTTATATAATGCACTGCAATTATATTAAATTGTGTTCGGATTGACTGGATTCAGACATACTTGCCTAGAGTCTATGTGTGAATAATTTAATTAAGACTCCCAGTGATGAGAAAATATTTTTCTCTTTGCCTTATCTCATGCGTTTCTACTGTACTCGATTAATAATATGGAAAGAATAAAATGTATATATTACCGATGTATCATACCTATGTTCCCCCTATCACACGGTTCGTTACACTTCGTCACCTTCTTTGATATACACGTACAATTCCTACAGCCGTCCCAGAACTGGTACCCGCTCTTTTTCTTCTTGAATTTCCCTGGGTCTCCAGGGACTGGTACTCTGCATGTCGCACATTCTGAAATAAACTGTAAATTAAATGGACAGGGATGGATACGAACTGAACATAGAATTATCATTATAATTATGTTTTCACAACTTTACAATACTTTTAGCTCACAGCCTTCATTGCCGTGCCTATTCCTAATTTCTGGAGTCGCCAGGGGGGGGGCATCATCTGGACGATTTCTTATTACTTGACCAATTTCAATAAAGTTGGTATTTCTAAACCACACTCAATTGCCTCTTCAGAAAAGTTTAGTTTTTTAAAAAAGAAAGGAGAAAAGATATAGGTCAACAAAGGTCGAATCGAGGTTAACGTGACCTTGGGGTACATTTTTGACAAATTGTTAATTTTCTTTCAAAATAATTTTTTGATGCCAAAAATGCTATGTTTCTTAAAGGAATAATCTATTGTTTGTCAAATAAAACAAACATCAAGGTAGGTAATAACTTTTTCTAGAACTGAAGTTATGCACTTTCAAAGACAGCAGGTATCCAGGTATCAGGAAGACCCACTGAAATCAATGAAACGCGTAATCATTGAATAATCAACAATTTCAAGTTCAACTTGTTTTTATCTTTAACATTCATATTTCAAGATGTACAACAAAAAACAATCACTGATTTGGTCCATGATTTTTCCTAGCAATCACATAGCAACGGAATATAAATCGAATTAGTGAAATTGGAAAAATAACGGATGCACAGAAGAGAGGTCAATTCGACCCACATCAGATATTAGGGCATAGGGCTGATTTTCATATTTGGCAATGATATGAAAAACGGATTCTACTTTTTTTCAATTCTTACGGATTTGGATATTTCTTTCAGTTTGAACCCTGACATTTTTCAACAACTTCATGTTTCATAATTCATACTGATCGGATATCTCGGATCTTGAAATGCTTATTGAGGATTGTAATTATCCGTGCATCTGTTGTAAAATATAGAATGGCAGTCTTCCGATTGGTCAGAAAGGGATCTACAATATCTATCTATGCGAGGAATATAATTCCTGGCAAGTCGGCAAAAAACATTTGAATTTAAGGTAAATGAACAACAAACGTAATGGCAACCAACGGCATCGCGTATTTATTTATTTACATAACACCCTTACCTTGGAAAAATAAAGTACCATGTGCGTTAGTGAGAAAAAATCTTAGTAGAATGTGTATTCACGATTATCTTAATCTGATTCATAAAGATGTATAGGGATCTTCTATAAATCACGATCAAGTACACTACAGGGTGTCACAATCGTAATAGATATTGCGTTTCTCCAACTACCCGAAATGTTCTCCTCGTTATCAAAATCATCTTCATATTCCAACGTGGTTATTAATACAACTGAAACCTTGTATATCAAGATGATCAAAATGGCAAATTTAAATATTAAATCGGGGTTCTAAATATGATCGCCAAATAAGGTGTCATGAGAAGGACTAGACTGAAATATTTGCATCCTGCCATTTTTTCATGTCCAGTGATTATTATTCATTTATTAACCTGTATTTAAACAGATAATATATAAAAATTCAACTCATACGAGGGGTGATTCAAAAGTAATGGACAAAATTTTATAGGCACGTTTACCTTTACCAGATTTGAATGAAACTTTGTACAAATAAAGATTAATCAATTATCTATTAGATGTTAAAATTTTATTAACTAAATGCAAATACATTTTGAGATAGAGCACTTCTCTTGGACCATGGTGCATACACCCGGAATCCATTTTAAGGCTATTTTCATCATAATAACAAATGGATTTTCAATGAAAAGTTTGCTGGTGCAATATATTTTGCAATGCAAGATGTATATGAAAAGCATTTCATATTTAGGTCGCATTTTACAATCCTTTGTACTGTAGAGTAGGACACATCTGTAATGGAACTTATTTCTCTCAGTGTCAATCTCCTGTCTGCATTTAGGATGGACTCTACATTGTGAATAGTGTTATCAGTGCGGCCAGTCTTGGGCCTTCCAGATCGCTTTAGATCTAAGACTCTCGTATCCCCTTCACTAAAGTGTTTGTACCATCGCTCAATGGCTTGCGTTGACAAGGCCTTGTCTCCATGTGTCTCTTTTATTTTCTTGACAACTGCCTGCCTTGTCTCTCCAGTAGCTACCAAATATTCAATAACAATCCTTTGCTTAACTTTGATTTGTTGTAAAGTAGACATTTCTTGGATGTGTGTGAGTCTAAGAGTCTGATCTACTTTCTGACTCACTTTGACTCATCATTCTTAGAAATATCATTGTGATGTCATAGCACAATTGGTTGCTGAATTTAGAACTCAACAGCAAACACATGGGCATGTGAGTCTTGCTTGACAATTGCATTACCATGCTTGTTAGACATATCATGTGTGGTAATTGAGTCATTAAAACGAAATCAAGCAAAAATGACAAAAACATTCAATTATCATTAAAAAACCAATTCCACCCATGCTTACCCTTGTTACCATGGTTACGCATAGCTGAAACAATTTCAAATGCATTTAAATGAGAATTCGACACAAAGTAAAGAATCGATTGATCTATTCACTGTGAAAAAATTAGACTGATTGGATAAAATTTAGTATGCCTATAAAATTTTGTCCATTACTTTTGAATCACCCCTCGTACTTCTAAATAAATAATAGGAGCAGCAAGGCCTACATAATGGATCAATAATGTGGAAAATGATTTTTATATAAATAAATCATATGAAATTATAAAGGTTGAACCATGATGGCCCTTCAATAAATCAGAGACATTACCTTTTCTAATAGTTTGACATTACCTCTTAAAAGAGAGCTTCAACTACCAAGTGCGCCCTGTCACTCAGGATACGAAAGATATATAATACACGTTTAGATCTGATACTTGTATTATACAAGGTGATCCCAAAATGAAACTCTGCTGATTATTTGAAATAACTTGCCGACTTATATGTGGAATATTCTGATGAATTATTGTATTTTTATGAATTATTTTATTGTGTATGCAGAGTGATATACTATATATTATATTAATAATCATGTATTGATATCATCTGTTTTACATTAAAGAAATCACTATAGCTATATTGTCTGGGTATGCTCTTGCGTGAAATCTTTAAAATTGCAGAATGGTTTACCTGTTGTCTAATTATATTTGGGTCATTTCTGAGTGCTTTCACATGTAACATTAGAAATCTATTTTCACACTTTTTGATCCTTGTCAATACTGATGAGGTATTTGCTTCTTTGGTAAATATTGACAAATGACGAACTTGGATTTAGAATAATGATTTAGATTGACGGAGCATATCTAGAGACTGATGATTTTACTTAAAGGCCCCACGTGAAGTTTATAGCACTTTGGCTTATATTATAATCCTACCCAATGTTATCAAAATATGCTGCGTTAAACTTTTCAATTTAATTCAAAAACGTTGATTTTAAAGGACTTTTTCAAAAGATTCTGAATTTAAGAATATCGGCTGAAAAATAAGCAAGAAGTTGGCGCAGGAAATTGGCTCAAAGAAAAAGCATGAATTCAATGGTACTCATACTGTTTAAAAAGGCAAAATCTTATCTTCAACCGAGATAGGCCAATAATTAAATTGCTTTTTACGAAAGTTTAGCAAATCTAGAAAGTATTTGTACGATTATATAAAAAAGAATTGACAATTTTCGAAAAAAAAATGTTGTCATCTATGTGACATCACAGCATCAGTCTAATAATAATCATCACATTCTTTCTAATTGCTTCAAAAGTTGTTTATGCGTAAAATCAAATCATGCATGTAGATTGAATGGTTGAAATAATATGACTTCTGCATGATCTAATCAATGGAATGGAGAAAATAATGTGTTTTACATTATTGTGTGTTCATATTTGATGTTCTAAAAATCTAAACTTTTGTTTCTAAAATGACTGGAAACTCAAATATTTGAAAATTATTGGATGAACAACTTTGTTTCAAAAGTCATTTTTTTTAATGTCTCAAAATGTCATGAAAAGTAATATTTTGAATGATTAAAGTATATTTTCAAACTTTACACGGGGCCTTTAATACAAATATTAATGTACTAAATTTATATATATAGCTACATAAATCACTTAGACACCTTACTATACACAAAAATCAACACAGTAATTCTAGGGGTGCCTTTCGAGGGGGTCACCTGATATGAAAGCCCCTTTTACACCGGTTTGGTCTTAGTACAACAGACTGAGCATGATACCACTTCTTTGTAGTTTACTACAACAAGCCAGATAAGCACTCTCGTTCATAGCGTGTGCAAGTCTTTGATCAAGTTCTTACTTACTTTTTAGTTTCGTACACTTGATATCCCCGCCTTCATAACAGGTACACGTGTTACATTTGTCGTAGGGACTGATCCAAGGTTCGTCAGTCACTTTACGTAAAGTGCCATCAATATCAACACACGTTGCGTCCTTGCAACACACACTAAACCTGCGTTTTTTGTCTACGTTACATGTGTAACCCACGGGGCAGGATTGTGCTTTCCTTCCTTTACAAGCCAGGGGAACGTATGGGTCCGTGCTCATGAACGGAGTACAGTCCTTAGGCAGAGTGTACTGACAGCAGGCGTAAAGCTCCGAACTGGATCTACTACATTTATACGTGTTCGGACATTTCCGAATCTCGCACGTTTTATTAATATATTTTAAATTTCCATTTTTGCATCGTGTTCTGCTATCCTCTTTTGAAATAGCTAATCCAACGAGCCAAGCCGTTGTCATGAGACATATAGTATAGCGATCCATAATCAACTTATGATCAAGTCATTATCTTATAGCAGTGCCTATATCCTCTTTTGTACACGGTCACCATAGAAAAGAACGCCTTACGAACGCATCCTGTTTTTAAAAAGAGTATCATACATACAACGTATTAATATGTGTTTAGTACTTAAACTTTGACTCATAATTACACTACTTTGTATGGTATACTTATTTCTTTCCGACAAGTAATAAATGTAGTTATAAAGATATCTATTTGAATTAATATAGCGATCATCTAATAATACAGTTATTGACACAACACAATTGCGGTCGTATGATAAATAGTATTCCTTATGTTTTTATGATAATAATTCATCATATATTTACACATTACCAATCTGAGTAGGCATCAAATGAGTTGGAAAGGATTTGTAAAAAATTACCAAATTTTTGAGATTCTAAGCAGGAGGTTCCGCGAATTTAAAACCCTTCCTCTCTTGTTGCTTTTTTTATTTATTTATATATTATAAAAAAAATGTTGCACCAACCAACCCATTCCCGTTCAACTAGAAATCGGCAACTCCATGGAGTAGCAAATCCCAACGAACATTTTATTCTTGATTCTGTATATATCAAAATGTAACATGCAGACAATAAAATACAGGAATTGGAGATATTTAGATATAATTTCCACCAATTTAAGCATTGAGTGACCATTGAGGAGTTTCAAAGGCTCAAATCATTGTCTTTTGAGATCTTATGTAATGTAACTTTGACGAGATCTCTTAACTATCATCGTCGGTTCCCACGCTCAATCACTACGTTCTAGGATAGGTCCGAAGCTTGATGAAGCAAGATGCTTAACTATAGCGAATTCCCACTTTAGGCATTCATTTTGAATTTTCTTAGGCGCGAATCAGAAAAGCAATTCCATAATTGTGATCTACTTTAAAGTTCCTACAATTTGAGTAAAATATAGCCATCACTGGTACTCACCTAGTTGACGATACGTCAGCGTAACAAGATGGAAGAATTTCCGGGCTTCGTTTTCGGCAAGATATTTTTATTTCTCGATTCTACACCACTTATAAGTTGTGGACAATAATTTGGCTCAAAGTTAAGGAAGATAGTCTTGTTTGAGAATATGCTGGCGGTTCTATGTTTGGTATATTAACGAAGACGCATTTCACATATTAGTTCCTCGCTTTTGTTACGTTGACGATCTTCATGCATATTGCCAATGTGACCATATTCATTCAAGTTTTGTTACAAAAATTCGTGGCCATTTTGAAATTTAGCAACCATCTTGAAAATGTCTTTCTTTGTCCTATCATCATATAAAATTTGAACCAAATCCGTCAACTAGTATTTGAGTTATTAAAGATTACATTTTCAAGAAAAATTCATGGCAGCTATTTTGAATTGAGCAGCCATAATGAAAATTCCTAAAAACCAATAAGACGTAAGCCTATAAAATTTGTATCGAATCCGTCAAACGGTATTTGAGTTATCGCCCGGACAGATGAACGAACGAATTGACGGACGGCTTTCCTCTATCCCCTTCGAACTTTGTTCGGTGGGATAATAATTCGTTCTTGGAAATAGATATTGTATATTGTATTCAGAATATCATTTTAATCTACTCGGTGATATTGATATATGCACTCGTTCGCTTTGCTCTCTCGTGCAGATATCAATATCACCTCGTAGATAAAAATGATATTCCTCAAAATCGTAGGATATCCTATAAATATCTGACGTTTGCAACAACGAAAGTAAACCCTTACTTCTAGAGAGATTACTTAACGGAATGATCCAGTAATATTTCTCGGCGATAAATTATTTTTCGTAAAAATATTAAGAAATCTAATTTTTCATTTCAAACTCTCCCATGGTCAAACTGAGCATTCTATTGCACATATGGGCATGCATTGCATAAACATTTAAGTTCCAAATATATATTTTAGAATTTAAACTACATTTCTATATTAGTCAAACCCTCTCTAAAATATGACACTGTACTAAAATTAAATTGTATTAATATATAGGGTAAAACAACTCAGACAAATGTCTAGACTGAGTAACATATAATTTGTGGGAGAAATGAAGTATTATTTTAACAAAGAAACAATTGGTTATGCGATCTATCGACAATGAGAGGTCTTGTCCACGAAAATAAGCAAGAGAATAACTCGAGACAGTCAAAGTTATGATAAACTAATGATGTTTTTATAACTTGATAATATGTCAATATGCCTAGAGCGTTTCACAAGTGTCAACGCGTCTGACCAATACTTAGTCAAAATACTTCAGAAACTCAATTTTAAATGAGGTATTAGGGTTTCTTAAGGTCTAATCATTTTTTTTGAAAAAAATATCCCATTTCAATAACAATTTCAATATATCCTTTATAAGACCAAAACTTTCTGTTTGAACTGTCACAAATATTTATTCCTTTTCTATGATCCGGAAAGTCAGCAAAATGTTCAGTCAATGCTACCTATTCTTTTTGCCTTTCTTTTTAGACTTTTTATCTCTATTTGAACTGTCTTTGTAAGTGTCTCTGGTGTTGGTTGTGTCATTGGTGGCAGTGTTTTTAAAATGTGTATGTGTCACTTTTTGGCGTTTAGTCTGAGAGCCATCTGGTGTGTTACTTGTGGAGGGTTCCTCTGAAAAAAGCAAGAATATCGAGTTAAGTTTCATGAGTCTGTTTTTCTTATCTGACGACTCCTAATGCACTAACAAATGCTATCTTAGATAATTCAAAATGTTCTTCCATTGATTTATTCTCAGCTTAATGCACAATTTTCCCCCACCCCTTTTGATACACAGTTGGCCAAAGCATCCCAAATCCCATGATCAAATAGATGTAAAGGGATTTTAGAAATAGGTGTAAAAAGATTTTCAAATGGGAGCAAATAGATTTTCAAATACTCAGTTGGGTGCAGTCCTTGTTGCATCAAAGCAGAGGAAATCATTGTGTAAGACTTTTCTAGATTGGTTTCAGATTTTTGAACATCCTGGTGGGAAAAAGATGGGATTACATGATTTTTTATTTTGAGATATCAAGCATTTGCATCATGAGGAAATACACTAATCAGGGCTCTCACCAGGAAATATTTAGGATGTGGTGGAAACATCTTCAGCATAACCATTCAGTCATGATAAATTATATTTATGTTATATTTTATCCTTTTTACATGCTATTGTTGTATATTCAGTCAAGTTTAGACTGTGGAAACAATCATGATTTGCCAGTAGGATGTGGTCAGAGCTAAACAGAGTGTGGTGCTGCACCACAGTCTAAAAGCCTGGCGAGAGCCCTGCTAATCATAATCTACTAGACTATATTAGCAACAAAACACATTGAAATTTAACAAGACACAAAGTGACAATATCACACTTTGATGAACAAAATGGCCACCATATTTAATTTACCCAGCACAGTATGCCCAAAACTTGACAATAGTCTGTCCTTCTATCTGTTAAACTTCATTGAACTGATAAGCAGTTTTCCTGGAATTTTGATGAAGATTTATGTGGCGCATGCCCACCTAGTCGCACAAGATGACAATATAGAACTTTTTCAAAGTATAGTAAAAACAAAAACAATGAGTCAAAACATATTTAAATCAAAGATGGCCAGCCAATAAACTCAATACCTTTCTGTTCTGCTTGTTTATGAGCTGCCTGCCAGAGGGCGCTCTTAACAAATCGTTTTGCAGCAGGTGCGTCAATCTTGGGTGCATTTAGCTTATCTGTCACTTCTTTTACTCTCACCATATATGCTTTCACACGATCCTATAATGAAATAAATATCAATGTTGCAGAGATCATTGAGCAATAGTAACAGTTGTTATTGTTCAGCAGCTATGATGAGTAACCATGTGCAGTAAGAAGGCAAGTTACTGGGAGCTCAGAAGATGTGCTCATAGGTGTGCCAGGCAATCAATGTGCCAGATATGATCAGGTATTGACTGTTTTATCACAATCTATAGGCTTACTAATGACGAACAAGTACAGTAATATCAAGAAATCTAACTTTATTCAGATGACCACACCTGAGCAAATACACTGAAGAAAATAGGTATAAATGACTTCATAATACTTCCAGAAATATAATAGTTTTAATAATAAAAATATCCGATTAAGTATTTTATCTCTTTGACAAGGTCTCAACGGATTTTCACAAGGACGACACTGCATGGTACTTACAATTTGTGGTAAATGTAAAGAGACATAGACATAGATCTACTCACCAGTTCTCTTTTGATACCATGTTCTTTTGGATTTACACCCAGAGTGTTCAAGTACACTGAAATAAATTTAAACTACATAACTTTAAAATTACATAAATGCATAATTTAAAGTAAACAACATTAGAAGAGCACACTGCAAAGAAATAACATTTTATGAAAGAAAGTGGTGCCCTCTTTACAATAATTTATGCCTTATTACATTATATTCATAAATTTGCTATTTGTTTTTATAGATGGCACCGAATTAAGTATAAAATGAGCTCCATATCAGTTATATTGTTTCATCTGAGATCAAGTCATTTATATCAGCAGCCAAAAAGTCATTCATCTTACAAGAAAATTCAAAAGTATGACCTTTTAACTCTACTTCTCCGTGCCCATCTTCAAGTTCATAATGGTGTTAAACATGTTAAAGACAACTTGAGCATGTTTATGTTGCAAAGCAGTGAAAACGTAACTCTCTCAAACCAAAAATATAAGCAATCAAAGAATCACAATGCAAAATTATATGGAAAATACATTTTGCATCTTAAATATTAATGTTTTGCACTGTGCTCCTCACCCACTGCTTATTACCTATAGTATTTAGAGTTGATAGACAAACATTTTATAAGTTTATAAGTAAAATACTGTTAGTAGGCATTTTTGCCTGTTAACTGATCAGTAGGCTAGATGGTAACAGTGATTGTCTATTCTTGAATATGTTGACATTTTCTGCTCTTACTTAATAATTTAATTTAATCAGAGACATCATTCTGGTGCTTTCTTCTCTTTTTAGACATCTTTATTTGGCTATCGCTAATAGACTTGAAAAAATGGTGAAGCAATTTTCCAGATTGCGCATGTTTTATATGTCTCTGTTTTAATACATCATACAATTTGTTAATTTACTTAAATGTTTCAATTATGTCTCCTCTGTGTATATTATAGGCTAGAGTTGTTAAGTCAAGAGATCTGAGCCTTTATGGAAATGCCAGTTCTCTCAGAGATGGAGATGATGTCCATTGAAAAGGAGATTAATTGATTTGTGATCCCAGACTTTCTTTTGTATATTCTTTTGATTATTTCCACTGTTTGATTAGCCTTGTTCACTATTTTGCTGACTTATTATCCACAGTGTCTTCAGTTTGGAGAGTAGGCACTGGAAACCAAGTCATGGTAAGATAGTTAACCCCCCCCCCCTCTCTTATATTCTCTATATTGAAACAAAGAGAATATAATAGTGAGGGGGTGACTTACGCCCCATAGATCAAGTTGAATGCTTTCACAAAATTTATGTGTTGTATATGCATGTTCAGTGCCCCTTCTTGCATCAATTGTCTTAGACCAGTTTTCCACCAAGGCCCATAACTTAGTAGAGCAGGATGTACTGGAAAGCCAGGAAACCACACTTTGTGGTTGTAAGTAGCTTGTTCTTACTCAAGTCTCTAGCCAATTCTTGGCTAGAAGTAATTCTATCTGTCTGGAACACCAGGAACCATTGTAAAATTTCTAGTCAGGGTTCAATAAATTTAAGTAATATTCTAAACACTGTCATGTTAATATTTCATGAATCGAAATGGAACTGGCTGGGTTCCTTGGTGATATTACATGATTTCGTCAGGATTTCGTCTGAAATTAAAACAAACGGCTCCAAGAAAAATGGTGATATTAAAAATCTGGACGAAATGTCGTTAACGTCTGACATTAATAACTGGCTGTAAATTCAAAGTTAGCGATCCAGAAGATGTGAACTTATACTAATTTGGGAATTTTTGGTGAGGTAAGACCAAAACTCGCAATTCAAATTGTGATGTGGTATGGCGTTACTCACTTCGAGAGCCATGTTAGATTTTGAAACTTATGGCTCTCCAACGGCGCACTTGGACAGCTGAATAATAGTGACCTTTGAAACACGAATTAAGTCGATCCGCGGCTTACTTTTGTTCCCTAACTATGTCATACATCATTATCATCCTTCCGTGCAAGTATTGGAGGGCTGAAGTACTTCCTTTTCGATCAAGACTTGTAATTGTTAGTCGAGTGAATGTTTTTCTGCCAAATTCCAATATGGCGTTTTCTGCTCGGACATTTTCATCAATCTCTGGAGGTTGTCCGAACCTGACTCATTCTCAAAATTCATTTTGTTTGTTGCGTATCTCGCTCCTAGCAGACCGCCATATTGGAAATGGGTCGAAAAAACATTCACTCGATGAACAATTTACAAGTCTTGATCGAAAAAGAAGTATTTCAGCGCTCCAATACTTGCACTGATTGATGATACTGATGTAAAATACAGTTAGAGACCAAAGGAAATTTTTATTCATGTTTTAAAGGTCACTATTATTCAGCTGTTCAAGTGCGCCTTGGGAAAGCTATTATATCAAAATCCACATAGCTTTCGCAGGAAGTAAGTATGGCGAACATTTGTTTTCAAATTTTATGATTACGACATGACCCATATACAGCGACATGATTCACATCCGGCAGAGTAAAAATATGCAGGGATTTATCTTTGGATGAAGGCCACGATGCAGGTGTTTGGCAGATGTGGGCAATTTTCACTGCTTAGGAAAAGTACATAGATGTAATCATTTGGAAAAATTTAATTATACTTACTCCAGAATAAAGCATTGATGGAGTAGGCTGCAGTCAGATCCAATTTAGCACTGTCTAAGGCCGACAGCTGAAACAGAAAATTATTTTCAAAAGATGTAAACAAACCAAAAACCCGGAAGTAAATCTCATAATCAATCATAATTTCATACAACAAGTACGAACGCTGTTCTTGGTACACTACCTCTGATTGTATTTCATTCAATGGACGAGATATCAGAGTATTTAATGTAGCCTCTACTTTATTCAAAGAATCGTGAAAAGATGTTAATCTGTCTTGTATTTCACTGGGAAATTCATCCACGTTTTCGTCGAGCGCATCCATCTTGAAATCCCCCGGATAAAGAACACACAATTCGATGACGTATTACACAAGCAGATTTGGTGAGTGCCACGAAGTTTCACGTTTTTACTTGTTTTTCAAGCCATTTGTCGGTATTTATATGTATTATATTTTCCGAATACATAAATTCACATTCATTTATACATTTCTATTATTTTTAGTGGGCAATTAGCCTTTCAATGACGGCAAACTTGAAACATATGACTGCTTGAAATTTTTTTGGATTTTTCCACGGACATCTAATACGTTCTTCGAACTGCCCTGGAACTATATCTATACCAGGACTGGCATCCAGATCCAAGTATTTTTTAGACCGCCGACTCTCGTTGGGCTATTTATCCCTATTGACTCAGTTGTTCATATAAATTTACGTACCTTAGATGCTTTGTAATCGACGTAGATAGAAAATATTGTTTCCTAAAGTGTTCTGAAAAGCGATAATTATTACTAAATGTACTTTGAACAGGTCGACTGACCAAAAAGTCGGACTTCTGGCACAAGGTCACGTGACCAAATAGAATTTGTATAGATAAAATTGATGACGTCACCGCCATCGGTGTAGGTCAGGTCAAAAGTCATCCATCTTGCCATTTGCCCGGCGTATTCTTACCAGTCGACAAAAAACGATGAAATCACGTTGAAAATAAAATATACACTTTAAAATTGAGACTGATTGAATATGACAAGACTCCATTGAATACAGCTGTGCAATTTACAGTCACCAAGATGAGCTAATTTCGGAGAGATTCGGTGAGATTCGGGAATTAAAAAAGGTAAGCCCTTCCGGTTTCCCAACTTCAAGTATTTGAAATCCCAGAATTTCGCCAGAAACATTCTCTCTGACTGTGGATTTTTCCCCATTTTTGAACAACAAACAACACGGGAGGGGGTGCGACCCAACTCGAAATCTTCTTCAATTTTGACAAAATAAAGTACTCCATGCGATGGCTATTTCATTCATAAGATTATAAGATTATAAGTGAATTACGATTTATAGGCATGCTTGCCTGTTAATCGATCATTGCAAGGACCTCATTGTCCTTAGATTGTTGCATAAAAAGTTAAAAAGTCAAGTTTCCCCAACTACCTATGTACATAGCCATAATCAATGTTGTGGTCTAATTTCATTGGATGATCCATCCAGTGTTTGTCTAGCCTGTTTTTGAAAGTGTTGGTATTATCAGCCCTAATTACGAATTCAGGGAGTGCATTCCATTGTCTTATCACTCGCTGGCTGAAGGTGTTTTGTCTGTTTGTCGTTGAGCAGTGGAATTTTCTGAGCATCTGTGTGTTTGCTCTTCTTAGTGTTGGTCCTGTGTTTCTATTCTGTTGGATTGGGAATATGTCTAGGCTATTCACATCATATAAGTTGTTCATATACTTGAAAGTTTCTATTATGTCGCCTCTAAGTCTCCTATAGGCTAGGGTTGTTAGATCTAAAGTTCTGAGCCTTTCTGGATACGATAGTTCTCTCAGGGATGGGATAATACGTGTAGCTCTTCTTTGCACATTTTCAATAAGTTCTATGTTTTTCTTGGTGAATGGATTCCAGACTGAGTTTGCAAATTCTAATTTTGGTCTTATAAGTCCATTGAAGAGAAGCTTAAAAGATTCAAGGTCCCAGTATACGTATGTCCTCTTGATCATCCCTACAGCTTGGTTGGCTTTGTTCACTATTTTACTGATGTGTTGGTTGAAATTCAGGTTAGAGTCTATAAAGACCCCCAAGTCTCTTTCACAGGTAGAGTTGTTTAGGGGGATTTCTTCTCCTGTGTTTATGTCTTTCATATTGTAACTCATGGCCTTGTTGGTTCTGCCTATGTGTAAAACTGAACATTTTTGTGCATTGAACTTTAGGTTCCACTTTTTGGCCCAGTCCTGGATTGAGTCAAGGTCGTGTTGGAGCATATTTCTATCTGCTGGATCCTTCACTATCCTGTATAGTTTGGTGTCGTCGGCAAATAGAGTGATATTGCTATGTTTTATTGTGTCTGGCATGTCGTTTACGTAGAGGACATAGAGAAGCGGCCCGAGCACACTTCCCTGAGCTATACCAGAGCCTACGTGGGTCCACGGGGCTGCTTTACCATTCAGAACTACCCTCTGTTGTCTTTCTGTTACGAAGGAGGACATCCACTTAAGAGCTTTGCCTCTTATTCCTAATGTTTTAAGCTTGGAGAGCAGGCGCTGATGGGGGACGGAATCAAACGCTTTCGCGTAATCCATATATATTGCGTCTACAGCGCCCCCTGTGTCGATGATCTTAGACCAGTTCTCAAGCATGGCTAGTAATGTAATGTAACTACCTGACGGCACGGAGGTATAGTGTAATGAGCCAGCTACTAGAGTCCATTTCACTGCTTCATTTCGTCAGTAGAACGTCAAAAATAAGAAATTGGGAGACCATTGTGCAATAATATATGGAAAAGTATATTCATAATGTACATGAATGAAATTTTTATATTTCAGATTTTTTAGTTTTTTGTGCAATACGCCTGTGCCGTTTTGTAATTTGAAGAATTTCAGCCATGTTAATCTTATTGAAAATAACATGGCAGAGAAACATCCAAATATAAGAGGCCACACACTTTATAAGCCAAACTAGAAGCAATCCAAGATATACAAATGTCATTCATGTACATTATGAATATACTTTTCCATATATTATTGCACAATGGTCTCCCAATTTCTTATTTTTGCTGTTCTACTGACGAAATGAAGCAGTGAAATGGACTCTAGTGTTGTCACGATGTGCCATAATCGTACATCGATGCATTGGCAATTTTCAGTAGTAAACATTGATGCACATCGCGATGTACATCGAGAAAAAGTCGGAGAAAAGTGCACGGAAATACCGAACGCTAATGCACTAAAATACCGAACAGAACAAATTAATAAGATTATGCTGGTACATCCGGGAACTTATAACGGTGAAATGAAAGTAAAGTAATTTTTTTAGATTAATGGTTGATTTTAGAAGCGAAAGAATATCAGAACACATTGGAAAATGAAATAAGACATGAGAAAGGTAAGCGATTTGCGTCAAAATAAGATAAGAAAGGATGATTTTTAGCAAATTAAATTTTTTTAAAAACATCGATGTTTTGTTTCAGACATCGATACATCGCCAGAATCAGCTTTGGCGATGTATATCGCGATGTATCGATTAATCGCGACAACACTACCAGCTACTAGACATAAAGGGAGTGTGCTAAATTCAATGCCTTGCGGAAATAGAACTCCGGACCCTCTGCTCACAAGTCAGATGCTCTACCCGTGAGCCATAATGGCTAGCCCTCAGGTCGTAACAGTGGTGTAGTGGTGGGATTACCCTTCTGTATCAGTCAGACAGGATATCATCCTTCAGGTTGGATTGTGTAATGACCCTCGATAGCAAGTGGCTTCCACAGTCTCAGCTGTAGTGGCTAGTCCTTATGGCTCAGGGGTAGAGTGTCTGACTTGTGAGCAGAGGGTCCTTGGTTTGATAATTACGACAGGAAGTGTTTTGAAACTCAGTTCTAATCAAATACTAAGTTATTGTTTGTTTATTTTAGGTACCAGATGTGTTAAATTGTTGAATACCATATTTGAAAACCTTTTGACTATTTAAATGATCTGCTCCAGTTACATTTCTAGTTATAAAAATCAAGCGTAAATTGGAAAATTGCCAAAATTATAAGATTGCAGCCTATGAATAATAAATACATGAACTTCAATTAAATTTTAATTTCCATTTTCTGTCTCAGAAAGAATTATTAATATTTTTCAAAAAAAGAATAAACAAGCTGTAAGTGTGTGCTACACCTTATCTTTGCAAATGGACCAATCAGATCGCAAGACACATGCGCAATAGGCGCTTGAAGAAATGGAAATAACTTGGTGTATGAAATCAGCTTATAGAAGAACTTGCCATTACTATGTGTGCAGCGTGCTACATATTGTAAAAGTCAGAGTTTGTTATGCACATATTGATTCAAAGGGTATTTAGATGAAACCTCTTACATAAACCGTGCTATTTTAAAAGTGAATTGCATTGTTTTAAATTAATGAATTTGGGAAGATAATACATGTTTCATTTAAGAGGGCGTTGTCAGTCAACATTGGCAATTGAGCTGTTAGAAATCAAAAAAAATATTGACATTTGAGTTTGAATGAAGGAGTCAAATAGAGACCATTTTAGCGACAAAAAAGAAGATTTATTTTGGGCTAAATGACTTCACAGCAAATGTTTTTACCCTTCTAGTTCGAAAGAGCGTCCAAAGTTCTGTCTAAATCAATAATAATTTCTATAATGCAATCCATAATAGAAATAATGCTAAAATATATGTTTAGAAACTGAGTTATACTCCGATCAAATATTTTAACATAGACATTGGCAATATGCAGACTTTAGAAAACATTTAAAAGTCCATTAATGGCATCATTGGTTCCCATCCTCAATCACTTACATTCTACCTATGAGGGTCCGAAGCTTGATGAAGCAGGATGCAAATATGTAATTATGACTTGATTTTAAAGGGCCATGTATATTTTCTAATTCAGCTTTGAACTTTAGTCACTGTGAATAAATAAAATGAAAAGAATGTTTCAAATGTTATGTTTCTTATACTTGTTTACAGACTAATATCCATGTAGGCATTGGATTTCTACATACTTCCTTATGATAAATGAATAGATTATGAAGAAAGGACCTTGTTTATAACATTTAAATAGTCATTGTATTTTGTCTTTAAAAACACCATTAAGGTAATCACTTCAAGGTGTAGACATCTTAACATAGACAGACAGCAAAATTTAAAAAATCATTTCTTCAAAATTGTAGGTTCCTGTTAATCCTAATGTCATGTCTCATTTCAATCTTAGATGTTTTTAGAGAAGGAAGGGGGTCGTCTAAAAACACAATTAGAGTAATAATCCCTCTGGTATCAATTTGATGAATGTTCTCAGCCATAATTCGATCCTGCATCAAATCCTGCGACAAATGATCGAGATAAAATTGAAATAGCCCGCTTCAATGTGCTCCTATCTGTGATTGGCTGCCTGGGCTCAATATCCCGGCAACCGATTGTATTTGCCAAGACTGACGACAGGAAGTTCGATGCTCAATAAAACATCGTTATTTATTAAATTAGATGAAAAACTTCCAAAAAACATACATTTCAACAATATCAGTCATATATATTGATCATTTTGAAATAAAAGAAGCGCACTTATATTACTTTTTTGAAATATTTATATGGTTGTAGAATTTAACCGAACTCACAAAAAATGATCCTGTGGCGCAATGGATAGCGCGTCGGGCTATTCTACCTACGGAATCATGTTTTTTTTCAAAAGGTTGGGGTTCGATTCCTGGCTTGGGCAATCTTTTATTTCTTTTTTTATCACAACACAATTTTATCCTTTGGGAATGTTATTTTAATAACTTAAAAGGGTTTTACAATATAAAATAATCTAAAAAAAATTGTATGTTGTTTTAGACTTATTGTGTTCTAGACATTTGGTTATTCTTTGGTTGTCCTGTTGATTTTCTCAATATATTGGTAAAACTGTGCTCATTATATGGTCTCAAAATATATCTAAGGCATAATGACGTTATATGAGCAGTTATATTAGGACATTACTGGTTGTCCGGGACAAAAATCTGGACGATCCCCTTCCTTTAAGGACAATTAAGTTTTCTACCTTTCAAAAGTACATTTTTCCTTTATTGTAAAGGGGATACGTCTGTACATAAGTTAATGCATTATATTGATTTATAAGTACAAGCAAATTATTATTAATTTGGAACTGACATGTAACAGATCAATTCTTGTCGATTGCTATTTATAAAGAAAGGAAGTTGCGGACAGGTATTTTTATTTTCATCAATTTAGCAAATATATTCAGTTCTGATATATACGTCATAGATGTCTATAATTATCCAAAGTTTGTCAACAATTAAGTCATCAAATATCCTCTCTGTTAAAGCTTAGAGACCTGCAAGCCACAAGTGACCTAATTGATTAGTGTATTAAGTAATTAAGGCAGCAGAAAATCAGAGAATAATACCAGAGCATAATTTATTGGCAGACTATAATGATATATATTTTCCAGCATACTGTAGTTTAAGGTTTCCTTCATTATCCCACCGAACGAAGTTCGTGAGGGATATAGGAAAGCCGTCCGTCCGTCCGTCCATCCGTCCGTCTGTTTGTGCGGGCGATAACTCAAATACCGTTTCACGGATTTGATTCAAATTTTATAGGCTTATGCCTTATGAGTGTAGGACCTCTGCTCGAGAAGGAATTTTCAATATGGCCGCTCAATTCAAAATGGCCGCCATTTTTCGTAAAAAATGTAATCATTGATAACTCAAATACAAGTTGACAGATTTGGTTCAAATTTTATATGCTGATGCCTAGGGACAAAGGAGTTTCGCACAAAAAGAGATTTTCAAGATGGCCGCTTAATTTCAAAATGGCGGCCATTTTTCGTAAAAATATGTAATCTTTGATAACTCAAATACCAGTGAACGGATTTGGTTCAAATTTTATATGATGATGTTTAGGGACACAGTAGCTATGTTCGACAAAACATTTTCAAGATGGCCGCTAAATTTCAAAATGGCGGCAATTTTTCTTAAAAAACGTAATCTTTGATAACTCAAATACCAGTGAACAGATTTGGTTGAAATTTTATATGATTATGCCTAGGGACACAGTAGCTCTGTTCAAGAAATAATTTTCGAGATGGCGGCTGAATTTCAAGATGGCGGCCCACATTCGCAAAAAACGTAATCTTTGATAACTCAGAGACCAGTGAACGGATTTGGTTCAAATTTTATATGATGATGCCTAGTTCACAATGGTATAAACTAACTTTGTGCCAAATTTCATGCTTCTATCACAAAGTGCACAAACATTTCAACATTTACACTAGCTATAATAAGCATAATATGTTTTGTTCGGTGGGATTTGCTACTCCGTGGAGTTGCTGTTTTTCTAGTTATATAAAATTAATCAGGTTGTCTTTTGAAGAAAAAGACATTCAGTGTAGATGCTTATCCTCTTGTGTCATTTAACCTTTGATATTAGATTAAAGAAGAATCTCTCCCCACGCAACAGAATGTTTTCTCTTTTTAAAGACATTAAGAGTTTTTACAAGTTGCACTCAAATAGTTCAGATCACATTTAGGTTCGGAATTTGTATAAAAATTTAGAAAATTCAGTAACCTACTTTTTATTGAACTTTTCCAAAGTGCTATATCGTAGTCATCCAACAACTTTTACTATCAAGTTAACCATAAACCATATATGGAATGAGCTACTAATTTAAGGCGGACTGGGCAAATTTTGAAATTTTGGATGCAATTTAATCATTGTTACTCTTGGGTGACACAGGGAGGTTTTACTTTCATTATGAGCTAAAATGTAACTATTGAAAGAATTCTCAATGAGACTTGAGGTCCCAGTGATTTCTCAAATTAAAGCAGTTTACAGTATGTGAACCCGAAAATAACATTTAACTCCAATAGGTGTCAAGAAACGCTGGAAACTGGAATTGAATCCAGGATTATACCCCATATAAATTGTCTTTGAAACAGATGACAATTGTTTGATTTAAATTATTTCATCAATGTCATCACTTAAAACACAATGTCAAAAGCTTGTCTTTTGGAATGAATGGTTTAGCCTTCTCAAAATGCCTAACTTACAAAAAATCTTTGAACATGGCTTTTCAATATGTTTTTTGAATGCTCATTAATTTGTTGTCAGCAATAACGCCTTGTCTTTTAATGGGCAACGCCATTGTAAAATGTCAGAATGTATATAATACAATGAATGAAAAGTGAATGCAGGAACTGCAAAAGATGAAGGCCCGGGAAACTGAAAATCGATGTTCGTCACTTGATTAAATAGCGTTTTACCCCTTCCCCCTAATGTAATTAAGCATATTTCTTTGACGGACATGGATGTTTTGACCCAGCCCCTAAGTGCCAGTATGTTCAGTTGCATTATTTGATATTGTTATGGCATCTTCATCTTGTCTATACTTATGTACATTAATTTTTGTTTTTCTATATATATGTAGTTTAAATTCACTTTATTACATTTCATCCATTCATCAATACAATTTGTATCATTCTGAAGCCTTATATGGAGAGATGTGCATCATGAGATGACCTACTTAAAGTAATACCATCTGCAAACAGTCTAATGCAACCATCATGACTGCATAACTTAGGTAAAAAATCATTGATAAAGATTATGAAGAGCAAAGGCCCAATTATTGAGCCTTGTGGAACTCTTAAAGAGACAATTGCTCATTGCAAAGGTATACTGACAGTAATATTCAACTGAGCAATTGGCTATAAATAACATATAAGACGGAAGCGCTTTAGCTACTAACTGAGTAGGTTTATGGTTTTATTTAAGCCAATCAGAATGACGTCATTCGGTCCTGACTTTACGTAAAGGAACAAATAGCGATTATGTTTCAGAGGGAAATGTCTCTTTTATGCTATATAAATTCACGTAGGCATAATCATTTTGTCTTTGAAACTGATAACAATTCTTTGACTTTAATTATTTCATCAATGTCATCACTTTAACAATGTATCAAGCCGATCTTAATGAGAACAAAGAAAAATAGATTTTATTTTACATTCTCATTGCGTAGAAAAAATTGTTAGGAAAAATGTGTTTTACCCGAAACATTTGGAAAATCTCGGAAACAATATTATGATATTGTTAATGATATTATACGTAACTGTAAACGTATTTGTAATATGATAAAATGAAAAATATCAGTCACAATCGACGCTCATTTTTTTATTTTGTTAATATAGATGCAGTAAATGAAGACGAGCACAAGTCATGTTTGCCTAATTAATCACTGCGCAAAGTTAATTATGTGCATTATGTTTTACAGATTGATGAAACATCAGCAATGTGAAAGTGGATGATCCATCACAAACACTGGAAAAAGATCTGTAATTACCATGGCAACGAAAAACAATATGACAAATATATGCTGCTTAGCAACCATCGTTTTGTTGCTAACAACTTGTGTAACAAGTCAACCAGCTGAACCCAATCCAAGCAATGATAACAACAATGTCACAGATACTGCATCAGCTGAGTCCTCCAGTGTGGGTACAACTACAAAACTCAGCACAACAGAAGGGCCAACTCCAAGTACTACCAAAGTTGTCATGGCAACAACTACAATGAAGACAACTGTAAAACAGCAAGCGAGTACAACAGTGCAATTACCCAGTGCAACAGCTCCTGCGAGTCAGGGACAAGCTAGTACAAGTAAGAAAATATTTCTGTTACTGTACAGAATTTGAAAATAATCAAATACGGGATGTTTTTGTTAAGTCCTTGAAACCAAAAATACTTCTCATCAAAAGGCAGTAAGCATGACCAAAACATATTCTGAAAATTAAGGTTGCATTGAGATCTCATGGTTCACTTCCCTCAGTTAAAATAAAAGTGTTTTTTTTAGCAAAACAAGAGTTACCTTCCACTATTCCAAGCTCAAGCAATATTTCAAATACACTACTGAACGTGACATCAACAACTACAACAACAACAGCGGCAACAGCAAAAGGAGATAATGCAACTAAGCCTGATATCACTTCAGCGAGTGATTCAAATGCAGGTAAATATTAGTTTGTGTGTCAACTGTTTGTGTTTTCACACATAGCAAGTCATTTCTCTTTAACCCTAAACATTCTTTATATAATAATATTGTTTGACTGTCTATGCTGAAAATAAAGCATTTATCACCTTTTGATATTTTACCTTTGGTAAATTAGAACAATCGGTTGAGAGAACAATCAGTGGAAGACTAATCAATAGGGGTAACAATCATTGTTTGGAACAATCAGTTGAAAGAACAATCAATGGTAGACTAATCAATAGGGGTAACAATCATTGTTTGGAACAATCAGTTGAGAGAACAATCAATGGTAGACAAATCAATAGGGGGAACAATCATTGTTTGGAACAATCAGTTGAGAGAACAATCAGTGGCAGACAAATCAACAGGGTAAAAAATCATTGTTTGGAACAATGGGTCAAGAGAACAAACAATGGCAGACAAACCAACAGGATGAACAATCATTGTTTGGAACATTCAGTTGAGAGAACAATCAATGGTAGATTAATCAATAGGGAAAACATTCATTGTTTGGAACAATCAGTCGAGAGAACAATCAATGACAGACTAATCAATAGGGGAGAAATCATTGTTTGGAACAATCAGTTGAAAGAACAATCAAGGGTAGACTAATCAATAGGGGAAAAATCATTGTTTTGAACAATCAGTTGAGAGAACAATCAAGGGTAGACTAATCAATAGGGGAAATATTATTGTTTAGAACAATCAGTTGAGAGAACAATCAAGGGTAGACTAATCAATTGGGGGAACAATCATTGTTTGGAACAATTGGTTGAGAGAACAATCAATGGTAGATTTATCAATAGAACAATCATTGTTTGGAACAGACAGTTGAGAGAACAATCAATGACAGACTAATCAATAGAGGTGACAATCATTGTTTGGAACAATCAGTTGAGAGAACAATCAAGGGTAGACTAATCAATAGGGGAAATATTATTGTTTAGAACAATCAGTTGAGAGAACAATCAAGGGTAGACTAATCAATTGGGGGAACAATCATTGTTTGGAACAATTGGTTGAGAGAACAATCAATGGTAGATTTATCAATAGAACAATCATTGTTTGGAACAGACAGTTGAGAGAACAATCAACGGTAGATTTATCAATAGAACAATCATTGTTTGGAACAGACAGTTGAGAGAACAATCAATGACAGACTAATCAATAGAGGTGACAATCATTGTTTGGAACAATCAGTTGAGAGAACAATCAATGGTAGACTGATCTATAGGGGAAAAATCATTGTTTGGAACAATCAGTTGAGAGAACAATCAATGGTAGACTGATCAATAGGGGAACAATCATTGTTTGGAACAGACAGTTGAGAGAACAATCAATGGTAGACTGATCAATAGGGGAACAATCATTGTTTGGAACAATAATTTAGCGGGATCAGTAAATTAATTAATTGGCAAATTAGAATGTACAGAAGCATTTGGTAATTGAGAGGTCTTACCACCTACAGTTTTTCACTTCCTATCTATGATATTATGAATTGAATGTTGTTAAGAATAAACAGTGTTATTAAGACATTGAGAAGCTGACACTACTGAACCTTATGACGTCATTAACCCTGCAATGATTACTAGAATAGTTCATTGAAGAGAAGTAATGGGATAAATAGTATGAAATTAGTTTATGAAATGTGTTAGATATGTGATTAGACATTAATCCACCTACAGTTAGGACACTCTATTGTCAAATGCAATGTAATCCTTATGTAAACATAAAAATATGAAAACAGCTTTTCTTTTTAAAGCCCATGATGCTATTTATAGTACATGATCCAATTACAATACATGTACTTGTATATATTTTTGCATCTACTAAGTTTATTGAATAAATTATGCTATTCAGATAATGCAAATGTCATTTAGTGCAATTTATATTGTTGTAGGCTAGATTATTTTTTTCAACATTAGACATACATTTGTGATTTATTTTCCAAAATAAAATAATAATAAATACATTTCTATCATCCATTTAAAGGTTACGTTTATATACACCCCCAAAATGCAATCTGATTTTCGATGCGTTTTGGTGCCAATTTCGGTGCCGTTTCGGCACCAAATGGACTGACTAGTCAGGTGGCAAATTTTGGTGTCGAAAGGTTTCGGTGTCAGAACAGTGCCGAAACGTTGCCGGAACAGTGCCAAATTTTTTCGATGCTAAAACCGGCGCCGAATTATATTGGCTGTGTGCAGGGTGTCCATAAAGTCTCTTTACAATTACAATACAATTTTTGTGTAAAGTACAAAGACATTTTATGGACACCCTGTAGAGTAGCTATACTTTTTAAATACTAAGCTATAATTTCTTTATTTCTCTAATTCCAGTTGGAGTAAAATCATTTTGGGAAAAGTTCATTTGGAAGGTAAGGATTCTATTTGTATTCACATAATGAACAACCAATTGTTGAGTAGAGGTTAGCATACGAATGAACATTGTATTTATTTTTAATGACTATATTTGTTGAATCATCATGACGTCAATGAATACTGATGAATGTTGTATTTAATTGTAGTGACTGAGTTGACTCATCATAACTTAACGTGCTGTTAGTCAGTTTAATTGGATGACCGATTTAATTTGGCGAATTGCAAAATTTCGCCAATTTTTCAGAGAAATCCCCGGGAAACTTTTGTCCAGTGTAATTTATGTTTGGAAAAATGTTGTATCACGGTTCAAATGTTCAAGATCTGATTATCCAATAAATTGGATCATTTTGAAATTGGAAAGTCCCAATAAAATTGCATCAAGTTGGTAAGTAGAGCTTATTTATTCATTTGGATAGATTTTGAAGGTATTAAAGCATTACTTTGGGTCTAAGTGATTGATTTTATAGTGCTAACTCTATTATCGCCCACCAAAATAAAACAATTTTCTGAATGAAATAGTGTAAAATGCACAATGGTTTTCTTTTTAAATTTCTTATATATCTGGCTTATTTTTCGTTTGAATGAAGACCGTTTATACTGGTTCACCTGTAAATTCGCCAATTTCATAGGTATTTATTCTTCCTAAATTCGCCAAATTAAATCTCTGCCAGTTTTCCAATTTTGCTCAATTTGCCAAATTAAATCACGTGAAATTAAGTTGGCTAACAGTATGTATATCATGTACTGAAAAACATTCAAATAGAGATATTGAAAAGCTGGTCTTCCATCTGGCCAGGTGATAACTAACCCCCAAACTAGAGAATATCTGTTACCATTTAAAAAGCTAATCCTGTTCGAAAGTGAAAAGAAGAGACAGTTTATTACATTTTGGTAAGAATGAAATTCAATCACATTGTAACTTTAGTGTCCAAAATAGTTTGGAACTGTTCACCAATCTGTTTTTTAATTGCAGGACCATCGTTACATGATGAGTATAGTGATTCCAATAGCTGCGGGAATAACGGGAGCATTGATTATTGTGTGTTTCATCTTCTCCCTGAAGTCTTGTCGCAAGAGGCGGAGATTGAGACGACGTCCGAAAATGAAGGTTTGAAATTAAAACATTCTTATTGTTGGAAAATTGAAATAATCCATTTAGGTGGTTCCTTGCATACATGTACTAAATGTTTTGATACAGCAGATGAGGATGCAAATAGGGGATGGCAGATTGTTTTGAAAATTCACAATTTTAATAAATGAGCCTACCTTTATAGTAATTACTGCATTGTTGCATGCTGGTTGGTTGATCTATTGTTGATTTTTGCTGATTAAATTACCTGTATAAAGGAGGTTCGATTTGAGAAAATCAAGTGCACATGTACTGAAAATGGAAACCTTCCTATCCAGTTATGTCTTAAGTTTGATTGAAGTCAGGCTTTCTGTTTACTTTAATTTATGCCTGTGTACTTTCTTCCATTGACAAATCTACTCTTTTACTTACAAGCAATTGAAAGTTTACTTTAAGACTATGGATGTCATCTCAACATATTTCAGGCAGTCATATGTTGGATTACCCATATTTTTACTGATCAAGTAAACAGGTGTGTATGTAAGGCCAATGCATTATTTCCAAGAAGAGTCCATACAGAGATGACCATTTTGATTTTGAGATAAGGATGTGCAATCAACCCATCAACATGCTTTTTCTGAAAGTTATCCTAATTTTTGCCATTTGTGTAAACTGTTTTGCAATGTTTGATGCAAAAATATATTGTATATTGAGGCATTATTCCCCTCTTAAAGGGAAGAATGCATTTATTCAGGGGTTTAAAGATATCAATTATGGGTGACCAAAATTACACTGAAAACAATGGACAGAGATAGGGAGTACTGTTTTCCACTTGATTTCAAATGAATGCATGTATAATTTTAAGAGATTCATTGTGTCTAAGAACAAAACATATTTATGTATCTGATATTGGTTGTACAAATGTTGAAAATTAGGATAACTTTCAGAAAAAGCATGTTGATGGAGTGATTCTTTGTCTCCTTCCTTGTCTCAAACGTCCAAGTTATCATCTCTGTGTGGGCATTTCCTGGAGAATGGAATGAATTGTCCTAACACATATGTACCTCTTTAAATGGTCAGAAATAGCCACAATCCAACATATGAATGTCTGAAATCTGTTGTCATAACTTCTGTAGTCTTTTTTATTACTATTTCCTGTGTTATATAGTGATCATATATTGGATTTTCTTCAGCTTGTACATATTAGAGCATCCCAAGTTCCAAAGCTGATTAATTTTTGGAAGGCCATCTTGCTTTTGGCAGCCATTTTAGATTTTTTGATGAATCTTGTTTATAGATTTCCTTTTGTACATAACATACATAGGTGTAGCCAGGTGCAATCACACCCCCCCCCCCATAACCAATAAAATAGATTTATAAGATAGAAGAAAATAGCTTTTTATTTTAAGCTTCTAGCTCAATTTTGAAGGAAGTTGCATCAAGTTTTGTAAAATTCAAAACAAATCTTCAATTTTTTGATTGTTCGGAAAGCTGGCTACACCCCTGACATAGATTAGAGCTGTTAAACTTTTGAATGGCAATCTTGTTTTCATACAGCCATTCTGGAAGTTCTGTTAATAAACCTTTTCAATTGTCATTTCGTTGAGAACCACTTCTCAGATTTTCTTTAAATTAGTACACATGTTACAGGGGCTACTAAATGCTTCAGTAAATTAACTTTTGAGTGGCTTCTTGGTGGTGTTATTCCATTTACTTCATGCGCCTTCTTGAATTACAGGATCAAGAGAAGAAGAGAAGCGATCGTGTGATGCTATTGGCTGATAGCTCAGAGGATGATTTCTAACCTAGTTGATAACTCCCTAACTAAGAGGATGACTTCTAACTTAGAGGATGACTTCTAACTTTGAGGATGACTTCTAACTTAAGAGGATGACTTCTAACTTCGAAGATGACTTCTAACTTTGAGGATGACTTCTAACTTAGAGGATGACTTCTAACTTAGAGGATGACTTCTGATTTAGAGGATGACTTCTAACTTAGAGGATGACTTCTTACTTTGAGGATGACTTCTAACTTAAGAGGATGACTTCTAACTTAGAAGATGACTTTTAAATTAAGAGGATGATATCTAGAGAGGGTAACTTCTAAATTATAGTGATTAAGTAGTGAAATGTGCCTTATATATAACAGTCAAAAAATTGATCTAGTGGAATTTCAGGACAGTGACTTTTGTCCCATAACAAAAATTGTTGGGTAGGTAAGTCAGTCACATTTAGGAATGCTGATTAAATAGTTTTCAAGACATGTCTATACAGTCGCAAATGGTGACAAAATTGTACAGAAATACTTGTTTTAAGTATGATAATCATTGAACTGAGTCGTACTAAACAAAAGTGATGACTTCTATGAAACAAAACATTTAATGGTACACTGGCCTATGTGGGGAAACCATTAACAATAGAAGCGGAGCAGACCTGTCAACCTCTCATTAATATAAGTTTTCTTCAATTTAAAAGAGCGGTTGGCTCAAGTTGACAGGCCTGTTTAATACTAAGCGATAATCAGCAGTGTGTTTTATAGTACCATAATGTATTTTGTAGTACCATAATGTGCCTTTGCATAAGTCGAAGTTGGCACAATGTTTCTAAATTTTGTACCTTAGATGTTGTGATTGCAGTTTTTGGATATCTATTTTAAGATTGTGTTCTGGGAATATATTGAGTTTATCTTAGAGAAATATCTCCATCTCTATGAGGAACTGAGAAAAGATATGGATATTTCTTGAAAGATAAATCTGATATCCAAGACATCAGACATAATGATATAGCCAATCTTATACTTGAAGTTCACAGTCAGGTGAAAACATAATATGTCTTGAATTTTTGAACATAGAACTTTCCATGAAGAAGCAAGATATATTTTAATTGTTTTAGATTTATAATTTAATTATAAATTTATTTATTTTTACCCATTCCTTGGCTTATAATATTAAGCAAGACACATGGATTATCGCTATTCTGCTCCTCAAAGATGTAAAATATGAATTTTCAGATGTTATCTGTCCCAAACCAATTCAAGTATGAGATACATTTTTGTATAGACAATGTTATTCTCTTGTACTAAGTCATAGTTGTCTAATATTTTACATATGCCTTTTGCATGTAAATTGGCTTTATATTTTAGAAGTGCAATAATTTTGAATTATTTCAAATTTTATGGGATGTCTTCCATGACTGAAAATCCAGAAGTCACTAATAATTTACAAATTATTTATTATTACTATTATATATTTAAAATCCAGAATTTTGTGATTGTCTAGTCACAATGATCATTATTATTATACAAAATAATTGATTAATTGGCAGAAAAATGATCAGTGTATATAATTTATTTATTTAATGATACAGCTTTGCAGGAAGGAGTGCATTATTATGAGACATTCTTGGCTAGTAAAATACTTCATTACCATCTTCAATATTGTAAATTATTAATTACCTTAAATTCAAGGTGCTAGAGGACATGTACAGGGTGTTAAAAAAACGCAACCCAAAGAAATCGCTATATCTTGAAAAATACTTGTTCAATTATGTTCATTTTTTCAGGAAAGAGAGAGGAGACTGTGTATGTATAGCTCCTGTAGATGGTTAGATGTAAAACATGATGCCTTGGACACCTGCTCAAAAGACAGTTGTACTAGGAAAATACGAAAAACAGTCAGGGTTGACTGTAACCCAAAAAAACTAAATAACTTCCTAACAATAGTGTTGGGGTTCTTCAAATTCGGCAGAAATCATCTTCATTCACTGTATGGTAAATCTGTAGAGTGAAATCAAAATCACTTCAGGGACAGTTATTGTTGAAATGCAGGGACTTTACAGTCATTGTTGAAGTGCTTTCAGATCGCAGTCAAACGCCCTGGTTCAGGCAGATTTAAGAAGGCATTTTGACCATGACTGTTAAGTCCCTAGAGTGATTTTGATGAAACTCCACAAATTCACCACACATTGAATGAGGATCATTTGTGCCAAATCTGAAGTGCCAAAACACTATGGTTAGAAAGTTGGTTTTATTGCTGTGGCAGTCACCTTTGACTGCATTTTTCGTATTTTCCTAGTACAACTGTCTTTTGAGCAGGTGTCCAAAACATCATGTTTTACAACTTACTAACAACAGGAGCAATACAAACTCAGTCTCTTCTTTCTTTCCTGAAAATATGAACACAATTGTATTAGTATTTTCCAAGATATAGCGATTTCTTTGGGTTGCGTTTTTTTGAACACCCTAATAGTGTTATCTTGTTGTAATTTGAGATCATAATCAAGTATGATATTGAAATGATTATCAAAGAGTGCAGTGTAAAATATTACTGATGTCTGTAACAGATCTAAGGTGAATTTGATAGTTATATCTGCACATTCAAGTTGTTTGATCCAACTTCCCACAGTTTTCCAACATAAAAAAATTTGAGTAGGGATACAGTATAGAGAAGCTGTCCATTCATCTGTCAATTCGTCCATCCATTCATAAGTCTGCCTGGGTGATAATTCATATTCCAGTTGGCTGATTTTGTTCATTGTTATTTCTGTAATGTAATATTCAAATGGTGAGTGATTTGATGAAACTTTTTAGTAGACAGGATTTTCTACTCCCAGGAGTTGCTGGTTTTTGACGAATTAAGATGAGTGTGAGTCTAAATTTTTGTTTTTTCATCAAAGGGTTTTCATCATTTAGTTGACTAGTCGTGTATCCCAAATTGAAAACCCTTGAATACCCTTGAGGGTAAAGTACAGTACACGAATAGCAACCCCATGCTTCTTTTTACTTTTTTTATTGTTGATATTTATATTAAGATTTTAAACAATAATACATTTCCAATGACATGAGGGCACCCTGCCATAATGAAGCATTCCGAATCTTTTACATGGATGTTTTCCAGTACGTTCACATTCTGTTGCACTGCCATGTCTAAACATTGAGAGACCCAACACCAGCGAAGGTCAGCACAAAATAAAACACAATTAAAGTCTTATTCTATTTCCATTTCTAAATCTCATGCATTCCAAGATTGTTGAACGAATAAGTTTGTGCTATTTGTCAAAACATAATTCATGAAATGGTTCATATTACAATGTGAATATGTTTTTTGAAAATAATGTATTTCCATTTTGTTTTCATGTCGTGCTTAAGAATTGGTGACGCATTGCCACCATTATGAGCAATCGGTGTAATACCCATTTGCAATGACCTTGCAAGTGATGAATTTAGTCATACAATCCAGTGTTTACAATAATGCAATGATTTGTTTATGACATCATTGCAGCAGTAATAATGAAGTTGATTGCTTAAGTAATATCATATCTAGTCTGCACGATCTCGTAGAAAGCTTACCTTGGCAATGCCAATTGAGAAAATTGAGAAAAACATTGTTTAAATAATCCTAAGTGCAATATCCTAGCCATGCATGCCCCCCCCCTCCCCCTACATCATATTTTATATTCGACTTTATATACATACACACAGCTTGTTCACTGTTTCATAAAAGAACAAAGGTCTTGTCCAAGGAAGGGTTTCTGGCTCAGTCTTCGAGTGTAAAATATGGAATATACCAATGAGGTTTTGGTCTCTGAAAATGTGGAGGTAACAAAAATACAATACAAAAATTGTTGTTTGTCATAGTTTTAAAGGGTGACGCATATCGTTTAGCAAATCGAACGCTCGTTTCTTGTGTTGCTCACCGTTTAGTATAAAAGGCCCGATCCCGGAATAATACTCAAGGGTTCACAGGTTCGAGGTTGTTGTGTCAACACCTCTAACTGTTATATAGCATAAGTATATTATAGATCGTCACACATTTATGAAAGGGTTATTTTTATTTTGACAAATCAATTCCACATTTATGGGTGAAGTTTCAGGATCTTCTATTTGTGTACAATAAGGAAAAATTGGCATCTAAATTTCCCCATAACGTAAAAGCACACAGCTTGGCATATGAAATATCCTACAAATGAAACAAAGCAAGACAAACCGGTTTCTAATACAAGGATTTATATTGGCTGCTGTACATGTATTCTTTGAACGCAATCACTCTTTGGATAACATTTTCAAAATCATTATAAACGGATTACTTTATCTCAAAGACAATTTCAATAAACTGGATTTTACAGAACTCCCCTTATTTCTTAAAAATGGACTGATCCAGTTGATTCGCCTGGAGCCGCCATATTGTTTTTATACGGGATGCTAATCGGAACCCTTTAATATAGAACTCAAAACAGGGTATGGTGGGAAAAGACCCTTTGACTTTGTCAACCAATTAGAACCCTTCATTTGCTTGGATCTATATACAAATGCAAAGCCCATTCTTCAGTCTTCACTCCTTAAATAATGTTGTTTAAAATTCCCACGTGTTTATTTTTTATTAATTTCTTCTATGGTACTTCCATTCTCTCTAATTGCTTTCTTTTCCTTTCTTAATGGCATAGGAAACATGACCATAGTCACATTCCTCTAAAGGGACGTCCATGGACTTCCTACCATGGCCTTACTATGTATAAAACTTTACTTTAAAACATGACATTAAGTTGAAAAGTGTAAAATTTAAGTCAGAAAGTAAGATAAACATTAGCATCAATACATCCAGAATTGCATAGATATACCTAAATGTCATGCACAATTTCTTTGACTATATTTCGGGAGAAATGGAGGGGAATAAACGTGATTGCATTAATATTTTAAGCACTGCTAAGGTTATAAGGTGATTTAAGGTGACATATTAGTATATAACATATTGGGATCTGTCCCTGATAGAGTTATCAATCAATGTATGCTGAATGTAATACTGTAACCCAACTAACTTTTGCGTTATAATGTGTTTTTGCAATGTTAGAAGGCAAAATTTTGTAGCATAATAAATATAATATTTACTGCAGGGAAGGACCAATTCACTACAAAAATAAATTGGGCAAGTTATGGTACAATTTTTGAAGAGCTGCCATTTTGTCTGTTGAAGTCAAAGTTGAGCTTCATTGTAATATTTAGTAGAAGATGGTATAGGATAGATAATGCACGATTTACTAAATTTATGTGGGCCAAAAAACAATACCCAAGTTTAAAGGTGAATATCATATGATATATGTTAAACCATGCCATGTATTATATTGTTTTTGTTGTTTTCTTGTGGAATTAGAGGTTAAAATTGGCACCAGGGGTGTCATGGGCAACTAAAAAATTATTCACTGCAGATTTCCAAATTGTTGAAAAGGAGAGAAATTTTTAATTTGGCACCTTCAAATGAGTTAATTTTTACAAGCTCAGTGCAAAATTCACCAATATATATTACTTATACCTTTTTAATTAAATATCAATTGTGTATTACGCTTGAATAAATTTATTATGATTCAATCAAGCATATTGAGTGCAGCTGTGACAACAATATGGAGAAAAATTTGGGAATTTTGATTTTCTGATTTTTGGTCGCTCATGACCCCCCCCCCCCCCCCCCCCCCCCCGGTGTCATTTTTAGCCTCTAACCTCACAAGAAAACGAAGATTTTTCAATTTGGATGGTATCATATTGTGAGGAAATGATTTATCTTTAAAATAATATGTAACACATGGCTTGGTTTAACATATATCATAAATCATTCATCTGTAAATTTGGGTTTTATTTTCTGGCCCATCCTGTATATGTGTAGGTGCAATAAAATCTCAAGGTTGCCATGTATAAAAATTATTTAATATTGTCTTCCTATTGTATTGTATATGTGATATGAAATCTCCGGACTATACTTGGATTTATATAACTAAAAAAATCATATTTATATGCTATAGATAAACATATACTTTTCAATTTTAATTGCATAATAAGTAAGGAATTTAATTCATTATTTACACATACTTTCTTTGACTGATCTTTTGATTTCCAATTTGTGTATATTTTGTAAATGAAATATATTTGTACAAAGGTGGTTACGGGTTTATACAAGAAATGTTGTTGCCATTCTCATTGTAAATTGAAAAACAGAATAAAATTAATAAATAAAATGAATACTAGTAATTTTATTACTCAGAGTAGTTTTGTTCTCACTTTTCACTCACATTTATTTTGATATGCACATTTCTATCAGTATAATAACTCCTAGAATAAAATTCCACTGATATTAGTTACATGTTTAATGATAAGGAGTTCTACAGTACTACATTTTTTCAATAGTACTTTTTGCAAGTTATTTTTGTGCCTCCCTTATTTGCTAGCTTGAGCCTGATAGTTAAATGTGACTTTTTAGCGTAAAAATCAAGGTGATTGGGGATCGAGGCGTAAAGGTATGATAGGCGGAAGTTGATGCCAATCAAAATGAAATTCACAAGATATTGATAGTAACCTTGTTTCTAATACAGTAAAACCTGCGAACAGGGAATGCTCTTCGGACTGGAGGAAAGTTTCCTTGTTCAGAGGTTTTCCCTATAGAGAGGGGCCGCACTTTCAGCAAACTCAGAATTGCCGAATAAGCATTTTTTATATATATTTGGGCATTAATTGATTTTACCAATGCCGACTCCATACTTGGTTGCTAGGCCTTGTTGTGACATCTTTGAAGATGTATGAAGGTCTCCCACCTCCCCCCTTTAGCTGAGGGTAAGGTGCATTCTCCGGATGTTGATTTTAGCCGCTGCTGCTGGTGTATGATGATGTCTAGTTATTGTAATTGTTGATAGATTTGGCTCAACATGACACATGTACTTATCTGGTATCTCCATAAAACAATTGTGTCAACCCCTAGAATATATCAGGGTAATTAACAGTGGGTGGGATGCTATATCTTGTAAACAATTGGCTTATCTTAATCTCAATCATATTAATCCAAGCTTTTTAGAATCAGATATTGGCTAAAGACTTTCACACCTCCGAAAAATAATGGAATATACAGTGTCACAAATATTCCATATTCCTTGTTCACAGGTGAATTTTCATAATTTGCCCCAAAATAGTGTTCCTTGTTCCCTGTTCACAGGTTTTCCCTACAGAGAGGGTCCGTTAACATGTAAGTCAATGGAAAAATATTTGGTTCTAGATCTTTTGAAAAGCATTCCTTGTTCATAGGTTTTCCCTACAGAGAGGTATTCCATCGGACAGGTTTTACTGTACTTTTGAAAACGCATCATTATTGAGTGATCATTATTGTTCTGTTTGATAGATAACCATTTAACAGATTGAATTCTATTTCCAATATGCTTTATTTCATGAAAACGCTATTGACTATCTTATGAATTTTTAGATGTAAAAAATTAATCGACAAGTATTGCGAATCGCGTTGTCGATCTTTACGAATTTGAGAGAAAACTTCGTGATAAATACCTTTGGACTTTTTTAATGGTCTTAATGTTTATGCAAAATGTGTTAACTGAATTATGATACCTTTTTTCAAATTTTAGATATAGTTTTTTAATTCTTCGTATCCCAAATTGTTCAATTTCACTATTAAACTCGATTTATATGCTACGCAAAAACATAAATTTTGAACAATAAAATTGAAGAGGGATTCGTGTAAAATGTTAATATTAACACAAATAGATTTTAATCATACCCATATCGTGCAGCACGCCCACTGTTACACCCTCTTTCTCCGATTAGAGCCATACGAGCCAACAGAAGTAGGTGTTTCATTAAAGGACCGAAATTAGGTCATTTTGACGTCAATTGCATTCTCGAATTATCATACTTAAGCATCAATTCGAATGCCCCCTCTAATCTCTAGTTATATTGGTCATTCGATAATTAACGTGGTGACTTCTGACGTACGTCCAGATTTCTTAATAAGTAAATAATAACTTCTAGTTTCAGTCCACAGAGATGAGCGAAAACAGAAATTGTATAAACTGCAGGGGCGATCGCCAAAAAAATTCGGTTTTCAGTCAGGGAACATCCTCGCCCCCCCCCCCTGTGAACTGTGAACAGGTGACACAAAAATACAGCTCTCTCATTTTAGATTTAGTCTAGGTCTGCTCTAAGACAAAATCCTCTTCTGTATAACAAATCATATATCCGCTAGTTTCGTTGTTTTAATTGTTTGCTTGTTTCATTTATTTCTTTATCATTTGTTTTTATGCCACACCAGAAGATTAAATGTTTGGTGCCAATGTTCTGTATTAGTTGACACATTTGAGAGAATAATTTAAAAAGCGAAGCAATATTTGGCATAATACGTGTATGTGCACTTTTTCAAAATGTTAGGCTTATTTCTAAAAAAGAGGATCCTGTTTTTCTCAATTTAAACATATCGAAAATCTCCTCTACACTACATTAACAATTTCTGAAAATAGGGTTGGTATTGAAATGAGTTAAAGTTATGAAACACATATCCCATGTTATTTTCTCATAAGGAAAACTTGTGCTATCCATTGTTTTCAGCATCATTTTGGTCATCGAAAATTGATATCTTCAAAACTAGACTGTCAATACCATTATATTTTTGAAGATGTTTTAGACCCCTTGTTGTATAATCTTTTCATGCAATAAAAATCAGAAAAAGGAGATCCTCTTTTGAGTAAATAGGTTCAATATTTTGAAAAAAATGTTGACATGGGGTCCCTATTCATAATTTTTCGAATTGTTCGATTGATACTTTTATCATCATGGGAACTTCACTTGAAAGAAAACATATTGTTTTAATAAAAACCACTGTATTTATGCCCAGAAAGTACTCATGGTGAAAGATATGGCTGTCTAAAATCATTTGCCATACTGCACGCGGTCTTTTGTGTCAAACGACTGCGTTTTGTCTCTTTCAGTGTTTCACCACAATAGTATTTCAAAAGTTAGAGAGATTTCGGCCGAGGAATCATCTAGATTTGGGAATTTGGTTAAAATTCCCCTGGATGTCTTGCACGTAGATGGGCCATCAAATCACAAGAGGTCTCAATTAATAATATGTATGATAAAAAATCTGTTTTTTACAAAAGGTTTAAAAATTGCTCAGTAAAGAGGTGATTACTAAATGTAATTTTTATGATTCATGCTCATGAGACCTCCACTGGAGGTAACAAGAGGATGAGGGTCCAGATGCAAAACAAAAAGGGAATAAATAAGTATCCGTTGATTTAAACATCTGAGTATTATATGTAGGCTATGTAGTTAATTGAATTTTCTTTGAAAAAAAATAATTCAGTATATTCATGTTTTATGGACAAGGGAAAAATCACGATCCATTCCTTCTTTCATGTTTACTTTTGCTCATTTACCATTAAGAAACAATCAATTAAGAGTGTTTAAACAGAGAAACCGTTAATTATTGACCAAAAGTACATAGAGAGACGCACCTGACACGCATGACGTATTTTGGGTGAGAGGTTACTAAAAATTATGACGGACCGGTAAAATGAAAACAAAAACTTCCAGTGACTATATTTAGCAAAAATCGGAACAAACGACGCCGTAGAAAATAATTATAAATCTAGGATTACGATTAATATAACATGATGCACGTAAGTTAGATATCTACTGGAAATCAATGTTTTGTTGATCAATATTTACTATTCTATATATATACATACGGTTTGACAATAAAATTTATTTTCAACTTTTAAAAAATTTAACCACCGGGTGCCTCGGGGAGACAATGAAGCTTGAAGTAATAATCGAGTGTATCAGAAAAAATGTTCATAGATAAATTGTGAAATGTAAACCTAGCCGGCGATTATATGAAATTAGATAATTAAATATGACACACAGACCACCGGCACTTAGAATATCCTAGTATATAAAAGTAAGGAAATTACAATTGAGCCATTGCATTGTCACATTCATGAACTATCAACATGATCGGAAGACTGAGTTTGTTTCTCCTAGCAGCACCGTTGGTTACCTTGACAACATTTCTGATGATCTATACTTTCTACATTTTCTACAGGAGGCGAAAGTTTGCTCATATACCGGCACCAAAGCTCGATAAGTAAGTTGTTTATTAATTTAGAAGTTGGTTTGTATAATTCAGTTCATATTTGACTTTGTTTACTCTATTGGTTTGGTTATTTGGTTGTTTGACTTTTTAAACTAATAAGTTGAAATCACTCTCGGATAATAATAATGTAAACAGGAAGTCTAATGATGAACAAAGAACAAGTCTATCATATTCATCTAAAACAAAATTCTTTAAAACTTGATAGTTATTTTGTTTTGTTTATAATTATACCATTTAGGCTATTATATATTTTTGCCTGTTTAACAAGTAATATCTTGTTTTATTGCATTCACTTTGTTTGGATCGATTTAATTTGTATTTTGTGTACGTCAAGTAAAACGAAGTTAAATGAATTAAAAACTTTTAAAGTGATTTTGCCTCTTGAAGCCATGTTATTGTCGACCAGAGTTTGGTAATAGTTTTACTATCATAACTAAATATGTGGCAAAGATCTAATACATTTGGACATTTCTGCATCTTACATCATTAGAATTTTCAATTTCTTTATCAACAATTAAAATTAGGATCGTAAGAAAAGTATTGGCATGATCTTTGAAAATATTGCGAGAAGAGGGAACTTAGTATAACTTCGAAATTTCGTTGAAATCTATTCTTTGAGATTGAAGGAGAACGCATATTTAATACCAGGAAAGGTTTAAAGCACATTGCCTTGTACTATATTATCCAAACTCTTTAAAACATGATATTTGAAACAATGCATACATCGTACAGCGTACATTCTCACTTACTTTGTATTGAAAAGATAAAGACAGGTTGAATAATAAGAAACAAAAAATAACTCGGAAGAGCAAAAAAGTGGTTAAAATGTCCGACAAATATTTTAATGATTAAATAATGTTTGCAGGGACCTTTTAAGGCCTAAATATCTTCTGTAATGACATCTATGAATTCTGTGTAGTTTACATTATTCCAAGTGAAAATTAGGAATTTAAGTAACTTTTGTCAATTGTCTCCACATATTGAATAGTATTCTGGCCCGACCAAGATCACAATGGCCATCTATTCCATACTCCATAATTTCTTTTTCAGTTGTATACTTGGTCACCTTCCCTCTTTGGTAAGAGTTTGCAAGGAAAACCAATTTGAGAGATATCCTTTAATTAGAAAATGGTAAGTATCTAAATGTACATTTATGGACATTTTTCATTCTACGCCTGGTAGCGGGTAGCATGCTTCATAATATATCAATTGATGTGTGTTCATATTTCTTTTGTTCCGTTCTTATAAACAAGAATAACATATAGCATATACAGGGTGCCCAAAAAGGGCATAAAGCGTCTTTATAATTATTATTTAAAGCCTGCGTAAAGAGACTTTTTTGGACACCCTGTATATTATAGCATTAATATAACTTTTTACAATATTGCAATATACACTAATACAATGTCTGTCTAAAGATACTTTATGGACACCTTGTATATTATAGCATTAATAGGACATTTTACAATACAAAGTCTGTCTAATGATACTTTATGGACACACTGTAGCATTAATCGGACTTGCCAAGACATTCATGTTCCCTTCTACTATACCAACAGTAACATTATTCTGTAGTTTATCTTACCCACTTTCCCCTACCCCTCCTTCGTGAGAGATCACACCCCAGTTCCTTTATACTATAGTGGGTATGGGTATCAGTTCAAAATATCAGTATCAGTATCAAAATATAGAGAAATATGCCAAACCTTCAGTCATATTGTCACATCATGATCATAGACCTAGACTGTCAACATGAAATATGAAGACATGTCACTCTATGCTTTAGGTGCAAAGAACATGGTCCGGTGATTGTGTTATGGGTCCTGCACAGGGAGATTGTGTGCATCATACATCCAAGTGCTGTCAAGGTACGACTAAAGTAGAACGTATATCAGAACACCTCTCTTTTAAGAACATCCCTAAACGTAAACACTTTTCTTGGTAAGGCTAAGGTAAAGCGTGTATATCAGAACACCCCTCTATTTAGAACATCTCTAAATGTAAACATTTTCTTGGTCCCAATTTCGTTACCTCCAATTGAGTCCCATATTACGAAATCTTGATATGTGAACACCAAGTTTAATCCAAGCGTTTTTGGCTGGTCAAGGTGGAGTTCCAGATTGGACAGGTTATCTTGTTGTATTTCTAAGTTCCCCGAGCCATCGTGCCTTATGTTTTTGTGTAGTAATTAACTTTTGGATTAATTTGATCAAATCATTTTTTGAAAATTTAAAGGTGATATGATTTTCTTACATCGATCATACTTTAGAAAATGTAATTTAAAACATTTGACATGTTTTTGATGCTTGTCTTTCAGGAACTTTTGCTAAAGCATCCAAAATGCCCCCAAACATATGGGACTTTAGTCTCAGCATTTGGAACAAGGTAACACACATACTACATACATTTAAACATCAAAATTAATTTATAATTAAAAAATATCTTACGGTTATTTATTAGAAACCCTGGGCACTGTTTTGTATTTTTACTTATTTTCTATGTCTAACATAAGTTTAACAGTTTTGATAATTGTTAAGAATTTCTTTTCTAACTTCGTTATAACACGCTGATCTATTTTATTTATATATTTAATTCAAATATGCATACTTGTTATTTTAGGATATTTGGAAACAGCCTTGTGACAAATGTGAACCACACAGACTGGAAAGTTATGAGAAAATCCATCAATCCAGCATTTTCCACAAGGTTAGCATTACTAAGGAGACTTGTCATATATTGAATTCAAAAGTTCTTGAATTCTACAACTATTTTTATTTAATTTATGCTGTCTCAATGTGATTGCATTCCGTCTCAATTTGATTGCATTCTGTCTCAGTGTGATTACAGTATGTCTCAATGTGATTGCATGATGCCTCAATGTGATTGCATTATGTCTCAATGTGATTGCATTATGTCTCAATGTGATTGTGTTATGTCTCAATTTGATTGCTTTATGTCTCAATTTGATTGCATTCTGTCTCAGTGTGATTACATTATGTCTCAATGTGATTGCATGATGCATCAATGTGATCGCATTATGTCTCAATGTGATTGCATGATGCATCAATGTGATTGCATTATGTCTCAATGTGATTGCATGATGTCTAAGTGTGATTGCGTTATGTCTCAATATGATTGCATGATGCCTCAATGTGATTGCGTCATGTCTCAATGTGATTGCATTATGTCTCAATTTGATTGCATTATGTCTCAATGTGATTGCATTATGTCTCAATGTGATTGCATTATGTCTCAATGTGATTGCATTTTGTCTAATGTGATTACATTATGTCTCAATGTGATTGCATTTTGTCTCAGTGTGATTGTGTTATGTCTCAATGTGATTGTATTATGTCTTAGGTCCCTCAAGTCCATGATGGAGGTACTCAACAAACAGGCAGATGATTTCACATCCGAGCTAAGCAAACTAGCAGATGGGAAAACACAAGTATGCATGCTGGACCATTTTGGAGCTGTAACCCTTGATGTCATTGGAAAGGTAAGAGGCACTTAGTTTGAGGTACTTGTCATATAATTCTTGTTTTGTATGTTATTGACCAGAGACTGATTTCGGAATTTATGAGGAAGGCCAAATCGGGGTCAAGGTTATGGCATTATTTGCAAAATTGATTTCTTGTATTGTTACAGGAATATTTATTGTTCAAGGCTTTCATATACGTCAAGAAATTGATGTACAGCAGGGAATTGCATCAAATTGAATAAATAAATAAATATTTCCACTATGGAAATCATATTATATAAATACAGTCTTAACATTATAGAAACATACACGGAAGGTCATTATTGATTTCATACTGCTGTTTACAGATATCTATAGATATAGTCGATTCAAGGTCTCATTTTAAATAATTTACATAAACATCAATTGTATAATAGTTATAATTAACACAATTCAATATTGTATACTAGGGTGTTCCAAAAATTATACCCAAATGAGATAGACACAATCTTTTCCTTAAACATTAAATTAAATGGGTGATGATAAAACAAGCAAAAACAAGCTTTTTTCTAGAAACTAAAAAGAGTTACCTGATGAAAATTTTAAATATTTATGATAATTAAATTCTCTGTCAGATAACCAAACTTCAAGAATAATTCTTCACCACTTATAGTTATTCTATTTTTCTCGGTATGATGTTGAAATATGAGTGGTGGAACCAAAATAACCCTTTCTCTGAAACTAAATAAATTCTTTTAGAAGTTTATAATAGTTTAATTGGCTGTCAGAGAGTCTTCATCACTCTCAGACTAATTCTGTGTTTTTCTCAATACAGTTTTATGGGGACACCCTTTATGATATATAAACAAAATTTCAGTTAACTATTACACAGTATAAATCCAAATTATATAACTTATATCAATTAAATAAACTTCATAATATTCAAACATTCCAGGTTGCCTTTAATATGGACATCAATGCGTCATATGGAGAAGCAACTGTATTCCAAGATTGTGTATCCACAATCATTGATGCTGTTGTTATGGTATACAGAAAACCCCTAGGAAATGTAAGTCAAGATTCTTACAATTATTTTGACGTGCATTGATAAATGTTGTTTAAGGTGGTTCAACTTATTATTTATCCCTAAAATACCATTATTTTAAATCATCAGCTGCAACATCAATTGACTTCTTACAAATCGTTTATTCTCTAAATTTGAAAATAATTGCTTAGCTGTCATTTTTCAAACTCTTATATTCATAAAGACAAAGGTAAAAGTCTATTGATTTGTTTGTTATTATATTCTAACAGACAAATGTGCCAACTTTATGACTACATTATTATTATAAAAAACGGAATATAATGTCTTTTTAAGTGGGACCCAAGGTTAAAAACCTTTAGACAAACACTAAACAAGTCAATTGAAAAATTACGAGAAACAGCCAAACAGTTGTTTAGGAAAAGACAAGAAGAGATTGCAGATGGAAAAGATGTACCAGTTGATGTCATAACATTACTTTTACAAGCTCAAGGTGAGCAATGTTAATTGGTTTATAATGTACCTATGCTACCTGAGAAAAAGAATAACCTGTAAATGGTACTTGTAATACTAATGCAAGAGACAACTCATTCTCAAATTTTACAAATCATGTACAAAACATTCACCATTCAAACTTTCTCAATGTTTGTCTCTACCTAAAATAAACTGAAAAAATCAATTGTTGAATTAAAAATGAGTTAAATTCTCTTCTGTGAAAGAGGAATCTCAGTTTTAGTTATTCATAATAATTCTTTTTTTCATATAGTTTATTTAACATACCTTTGAATTGAAAAAGATATATACTGTAATGATAAACACATGTACAGTATGTCAAAGTCTAGAAATTTTATTTTTAGAGAGGCATGGGTGGTTTACAGAAGAGAGATTACTTGATGAATTTGTGACTATCTTTATTGCTGGTAAGTGCAAAACAACAATATTTTGAGGTAAATCATAGAACATATATTTTGTTATCTACAAGTAATTAGCTGCTTACAATTAGATGATTCATTGTTAAACTGAGAAAAACAAAACAATTACTGCTGTTGTAGTTGATGTATATGTATGTGAAATGTTAGCATGTAATTAGCTTTTACTTACAATCCTGATTTTCTGAAAATTTGAGATACCTGATAAAATATAGGAATTTTTGAAGAGATATATCCAAATTCATTAGAATTATAAAGAAGATGAAGATGTTTTTAGCAACACTTTTTAACCCTAGAAAACTGTAGTATTTTATGTAAACATTTTTAGTGCTTATAAAATATATATGTAGATTACAAATACTGACGCACCTAATAATAGTGTGCCGCTGTTAAAAAAGCGTATGTCAAAATAAATAAATAAATAAAAATAAAAGGCAATCAATGAGATAAAGTTAGCACTATTATAACCATGTCTATGTCTATCTATGTCTATAAATGAACTCACAATATTTTCACTTGGCACCTTTTGAGGTGGATCCCGGCTATGGCATTAATGGTTGAGAAATAGGGATCGAAACCAGCCATAGTTTTCTCCTGATGACCATTGTGAATTATTGTGTTTTATGGATTATGGCGACGGCTTTTGTGAATGGATGTTGACCCTTTGAAATGCCTATGGACTTGGAGACTGGATTTTATCTATCCCACATCATTTGAGACTGAATCCTCTATCTTGTATGAGTACTTATATCTACAACAATTTTTGAGGTTATGAGTATTGGCTATCAATTGGCTATCAATTTCTATTTTTTCTTCAACATGTATTGTAATGACTTCAGTATGAATGAAATGTCCCTTGGTCTTCTGGTCTTGGATTGTGATATTGATTCTTGAATGGTGGGGGGAAAGAGGGTATTAGACATTGTTTCTTTTCACGTTGGATCATGGTTTTGGGCTATATGGGGTTTGTTTTTCTTGACTGGTATGCACTTAGAGTTTGCTTTTTCTTGCTAAGTTCCATTACAACTTTTGATCCTTTCCCTTTGGCACTAGTGCTTATATATCTATATAATTTAAAACATTAACATTTAAAAATAGATCAATGGTTTACAACTTATTTAAAATTGAAAGGAAACCCTCTTTACCAATGACAAGCACTGGCGAGAGTTAAACAAATTGTAACATCTTGGCAACTTTTGGAAACTTATTCTCATCTTGTCTTTAATCTTTGTTGTCTTTTAAAATAACATACAGTAATTCTATATATACATTTCCACATATTGCATATTATTTTCGTTTTTAACTCTTAAGGTCAGGAAACAACAGCGACAGCTCTGACTGCATTGCTGGTGGAACTAGGGAGAAACCCCCACGCTTTACAAAGGTAATTAGTAATATCCTAATGAAGGAGAAAATCATTCATACAATTACAGTACGATTAATGAAGGAAATTTTTATTAAAGCTAAGAAATATTGTAATGTATTGATGTGCGGGGGTAGACCATGGGTTAAATACTGTAGAGATAAAACTTAATTATAACTCAAAACAAACTATTAATTACATCCAAGGTAAATCCAATATCATTTTCTGGTCATTATAGCTTCTAAATAAACATCGATTCAAAGAACTGTAACACGTGTAGGTGGTGTATTGATAGTTTATGTTTTGAACCATATCAATTACCAGTACTTAAAGCAATTATCTATTTTTGATATAATATAATAAAGCGTTAAGAAAACCCACACCCACTTTGTCATGTCTGTTCCAAATAGATAAGGTCTGGTAAACCATAATGATGATAAAGCAATTGCCATTTGTCATAAACAATTCCAAGCTTCTGGATTATAATATTTTATATGTCACTACTTATTTAGGTATTTTTTATCATGTCTCTGGAAAAGTATTCATCCTTCTACAAAATCAAAAGTATTCCTATATGATCTGTGAATAAATCTAAACAAAATTGAATTTAAAAATTTCCAGCTGAAATTATTATTCTAATCAATCCTGATTTTGAATTCATCCAGTTGTTTTCCAGATGACATTTTTCCAGAAATAAAGACACAACTTTTTAGAAATTACGCATGACATAGAATAATGAGAGCAAAGAGCACTGTAAATTACAATATGTTCTAGATTACAAGAGGAAGTTGACAGTATAATGGATAATGAAGATGACTATATAACATATGAACAATTATCAGAGTTTGATTATCTATGGATGTGCCTCAAAGAAACTATGAGAATATGGCCCCCTGCACCTGCCACCATGCGAAGCTTAAAACATGAAACTGTATTAGATGGTCATAAATTACCAGAAGGAACAAAATGTTTGGTATGTATCATTGTTTTATTGAAATCATTCATCTAAAAGGATTGCTTTTCATTCATTTTGTCAAGTAATTTAAATTATTTTATTGTTTATACTCGGATATGTAAGATGTAACTTAACATTAATTTTACCTAAATAATAAAAATCTGGGAAAGTAAAACAACCTTTATGTATATGTTAAGTGATTTATAGATTTCACCTCCAAATGGTATAACATGAATATTCCATTTGCATAATAAGTTAAATCAATTTTCAGATACCATTTTGGGTGCTACATATGAATGATGAGTATTTTCCAGAACCTTTTAAATTTAAACCAGAAAGATTTGAAAAGCAAAAAAGGTGAGTGGTCAGCTAGTGAAACATCATGTATTTAAGTCACACTTTTCCTAAATTGAGGTAATGGTGCAAACAAAATAATTTAGAATTATATACACATGTATACACATGTGGTTACACATTATACATATAGGTATATTCCAATAACACAAAATTACAATTAAATCAATCAAAACCATTGGAACAACTTCTATAATATGTAAAACACCCATTTGAAACAAATATACAGGTCAATGGTGAATAGAATTTATATACAATGCAAGGAAATTGTATTTTAAAAAGTGAAGTATTTCAAATGATTCAGTTGGTTATATGATAAAGTTGCGTAATTTGTTTTTCAGTGTGCCATGGACGTATCTTCCTTTCTCTGGTGGACCCAGGAACTGTATTGGACAGATGCTATCACAGGTACAGCCATGAATAAGTCTTCTTTTATAACAAAGGTTCAGCCAGGCTGAATTTTACAGAAACACTTTTATGCAGACATAGTGTTCAACTGTAACTGTGGTAATATAGGTTAAAGATAGTATTGCGCTGTTTTACTCAATTTTTGACTCATATGTTTAAGCTTGCCGCAAATTGCCTCGTCATTTCTGGAGCCTAACTACGGCCCTATGTGAAAAAGCATTAAACCAATCACAAATTATGTACTGAAATCAGATCAACACCTAATATATTATAAAAACTATGTTTAATTTATTTACATTACAGTAAAACCTGTCTAATCCGAACACCCATGGGACCAGCCAAAAGCGTTCAAATTGGCAGGTGTTCAAATTTCGAGGATTTTGTTGGTCGGGGGATTTTCATTGTACAGTGCACTATATTGAACACTTAATACTAAGTCAGAAAACAATACATGTTGTTGATGAGTTAATTCTACAATAGGCCTATAGCCTATATGCTATGTTTAATTTATATTTTGAACAATTTCATCATTTTAGTAAAAATAACTCTTATATTTTGGCAAAAACTTTGTAATACACTGTAAAAATATATGATAGTCTCGTACGAAATCTTATGCTTATCAAATGGCTTATCCCATATTATGGTTACCGGTATATAGCACTGCTTTACTTTTGCTTTAAAAAGTCCTTCATTGTTGTTTGTTTCTTGGCACTTTTAGCATTAGCAATATTTGAGTAGATAAGTAAAAATTATTTTTCATGAGTGTTCATTCGAGATGATGTATAATCCTTCAAAATATCAAGGCCAAGGGCATTCAGGATGTCAGATGTATGCGAATATTACGAAGTTGGATTTTTTCTCCTTCTCGTGATATAATCGTGTCTGCAAATGGCGTCTGTGTTGTCTTTGTGATTATAAAACATTTACTGATTGAATCTTAGCTATCATAACAGACCCATGGGATATAAAACAGTTAGAGCTGTTCATAATCCAAATCAAAAACATGCAGTTAATTTACAATAAGGATAAACCAATTATCTACCAGACTCTCACCTTTCTCTTAATCCAAATCAAAAACATCCAGGTAATTTCCAATAATGATAAATCAATTATCTTCTTGATTCAAACCTTTCTCTTAATCCAAAAATAAAACATTCAGTTCTTTTCTAATAGGATAAACCAATTAACTCCTGTATTCACTCCTTTCCAAAACATCCTGTTGTTTTCCACAAAATAGGGATGTCACTGAGACTAAATAAGTTAATTAGGACAATTGGTTCTTTGATTGCATTTGTATATATGTAAAGATAAATAACAACTATAACATTGACTCAATATGTGGCTTTAATTGAAATGTCCAGACATTTGATTTCTGATAAAAATGTTCAGATTAGACAGGTCACTTTTTCAAATCTGGTTGTTCACTGTTCAAATTAGGAGGTGTTCAGATTTCAAGGTTTTTTTAACATGGGAGTCAATGGAAGGAAAAAATGGGACCGAAAAAAAGTGTTCGAATTGGAAGGTGTTCGGGTTAGCCAGGTGTTCAGATATACAGGTTTTACTGTATATTTTTAAAGTAAATTAAAATCATTATTAGAAATTATATTCAATCTAATTTATATTTTATTATTCCAGATTGAAGCCAAAGTCATAATTGCCAAATTCTTTAAAAAATTTAATTTCGAACTTACACCAAATCAATCATTTGCTCCTACTGAGGTTGCCACCATAAGGCCAAAAGATGGGGGATTATGTACATTGACATTGAGAAAAAATGATGACACGACTTTGAGCAATAAAGTTGTGGAGAGAGATATTGACTGTGAAGCAACAATATCAAAAAATATAACAAATCGGCTTATGAGGAAAAATTCACAACAAGGGCAGTGAGAATTATATTAAGAATTTACACATACACATGTCGTTAGCATTTTTAAAAATATCAATGGGTAAGCATACTTTTGGACGATAAATTAATTGAATTTACATTTGGATGATAATTTACTTGAACGTATATGTAGGTCGCTGACAATTCAAGAATTCTAAATTTGGATGATAAATTACTTGAACGTATATGTAGGTCGCTGACTATTCAAGAATTCGATATTTGGATGATAATTTACTTGAATGTACATGTAGGTCACTAATGATTCAACGATTCCTAATTTGGATAATTCTGCATTATTTATATAATGTGAAGTCACTGGCAATTCAACAACAAGGATGAAAGTAACATTATGTGCATTTATTCTATATCTTGATGATAGATTAAACTATGTATTTGACAATTCCTATATTTGGATGATATATTGTAGTTTGCATTCTGTACTTGTATTCAATGATTCTATATAGTATGATAGTTTACACCATGTACACATGTAGGTTAACAAAAATTCAAGAATTCTATATTTGGATGATTTTACTTGTATGCACATGTAGGTCCCTGACAACTCAACAATTCTATATTTGGATGATAGTTTACATTATCACTGGTGATCCGCTCGATTACGTTGGTTACCGAAATGGTTCACTTCGGTAACAAAATGTAGAAACTTCGAAGGTACACCTTTTCTTTTTTTCCTTATTTTACACATTGTAGGCAGAATTCCCAGGACATTTTTATCATAACCATGTACCAGTATCATATGTTTAAGAAAATGTACATGTTTGCGATCAGAAGACAACAGAGTTGTCGATTGGGTCACTGACAATTCTATATTTGGATGAGTTTACTTATATGTACATGTGGGTCACTGACAATTCTATATTTGGATGAGTTTACTTATATGTACATGTGGGTCACTGAAAAATTCTATATTTGGATGGGTTTACTTATATGTACATGTGGGTCACTGACAATTCTATATTTGGATGAGTTTACTTATATGTACATGTGGGTTACTGACAACTCCATATTTGGATGATAGTTTATATTATGTATTTTTATTCAATGATTATGTCTTGATGACAGTTTAAACAATGTACATATCAGTTACTGACAACTCGACAATTCTATTTTTTGTGGATGATAGTTTACTTGTATGTACATTAAGGTCATTGACAATTCAAGAATTATAGGTCAACACTCCATTAGATTTTCAAGTGCCCAGCTTTGGAATAATCTGCCAGCTTTTTTGAAAACATCAACTTCCAATTATTTTAAAAAGAATTTCAAAATTAATATGATATCAAACTATGAATGAACTAAATTATTAACAAACATATATGTACATTTTATCAATCATAACAGATTTTATTCTCTTTTGACTGATTAAAGAATTTATGTTATGACTCAGATTACTAATTAAAAATTTTCACACTGATACATTTATTAAAAGTGTCTAGTGTTATCAATATATATAATTTTTAATTTAGAAAATAAATATTTTTAAATAAAAAAATAATGAAATAATATATTTGGATCATAACTTATTTGAACATACATGTAGGTCACTGACAATTCAAGAATTAAATATTTGGATGATAGTTTACTTGTATGTACATAAAGGTCACTGACAATTCTATATTGAATGCAGGTCAATCATAATTCAAATATTTCTGTTAATTTGATGATAGTTCACATTATATACATATATATATATATACATTATATTATGTACATGTGTACATGAAGGTCACTAAACTATTTCTATACTTGGATAATAGTAAACTTTTTCTATATTTGGATGGTAGCCTAATGTAGATGGCACCATGTAGATAACTGATATTTCAAAATTAAGTTGATTCCCTATTGACATACTTCCTTCTGATTGTGCACTAACTGGCATCTACTACATACTTGTACTACTTTATCATATGACATGCTATATATAAAAGTTGTATTGCTAATGACAAGACAACATAACAGTACACCATTACACTTATAATCAAAACTACAGAATATGCAAATTATATATACAGGGTGGGCCAAAGAAAACCACCCCCCTAACCAATATTCCTGATAAATATTTATTTTTTAACAATCACACCAACAATGATATATCATATTAAAGATAATTTAATTTGCAACAGAATGATATATAATAGCACCATTTTCAACAACCCCATATAGAAATATGACCATTTATGTGACATGGGGGTCAAAAAACACCTTTTCAATTTTCGTCGATTTTGCAACAATTGCCTATTTCTACCAAATTTTAGTAAATTAAAACATTGTCATGAGTCTTTCATATTTGGATATTATATATTGTTTTCATTCAATTTTTGAACCACACATGCTCAATATACATGTGTATGCTTATAAAACTAATTCATTTCTTCTTCAGTCTGTCCAAAAATAGCTCAATAGACCCACCCCCGGACCCATCCTCTGATTGGATTATTCGCTTAAGACACGGAAGCCATTGGTTGATGGCATAATTGATGGATGTATGCGGAAGTACCATTCAACTGCTAGTTATTCTTTCTTTTAGTTCCTCTACATCCCTGATAGGCTGGGTATATTTAAATATCAACTGTTCTAGATGCTCCCAGGTATGGTAATCAACATTATTGGCAACTGGACTGCTAGTTAGCCATTTTGCTGGGCTAGAGATGGTGACATTTCGAATCTCCAAAAACTCCAGGGTAGCATTGGACCTGTGTGATGGAGCACTGTTCTATCAGAAAATGAAATTTCTTTCACATGTTTTTTATATTCTTGAGGAGTCCTTTTTTACCACCTCATGTCATTAACATTCAGAGTATATTTTTGCTCCTGGTTCAAAAAACAGGGCCTGTATGGTCTTTCCTTTTTGGGAAACACTGAGTGGACACCACCTACTTTTCAGAAAAATGTCATCTCGATCTGAGTAGCCTTTTATCGCAAATGTCACTATTCTTGCTTACTGATATAGAGTATAGCCTTTTTATTACATGTATAGTACTTGGGGCATTTAGAACAGTTGGTCTATGGAGATCCCTAGCCCATCAGGGGTGTAGACATACTGAAAGAATGAATAATTAGGTGTTGGATGGTACTTCTGCAGAGGTCCATCAATTATACCAATGACTTTCGCGTTTTAAGCGAGAAATCAAATCAGAAGTTGGGTCCGGGGTGAGTCTATTGAGCCATATTTGGACAGACTGAAGAAGAAATGAATTAATTTTATAAGCATACACATGTATATTGAGCATGCAAGGTTCAAAATCTGAATGAAAACAATATATAATATCCAATTATGAAAGACTCATGACAATGTTGTAATTTACTAAAATTTGGTAGAAATAGGCAATTGTTCGCACAATTCGACGAAAATTGAAAAGGTGTTTTTTGACCCCCATGTCACATAAATGGTTATATCTCGAGCCAGAGTTGTTGAAAATTGTTCTATTATATATCATTCTGTTGCAAATTAAATTATCTTTAAAATGATATATCATTGTTGGTGTGCATGTTAAAAATTGAATATTTATCAGAAATATTGGCTAGGGGGGTGGTTTTTTTTGGCCCACCCTGTATATATATTAATGACAGTATTTATTCTGGAATTCTACTTATTACAATAGTATAATTGACTATAAATTATTACGTTAACTGCAATCTTGTTAGAGGTTTTGTAATTGTGACGTCAAATAAATGCTGAATTCTCCCTAATATAGACTTCAGGTTTGATACATATACCTTTATGACATATTTTTGATTGATAAAATTTACACTTGTTTGTCATATCATCAGCCCCTACTGTCTGACGAAGGTCTACTCTGGTCTATAAAGGTATACCCCTCATATAAGCAGGTCTACCGCTCACACATACAGTTCTACCCTGCCTTATGAAGGTCTACCAAGGTATATAAAGATCTAACCCTCATATATAGTCCATCCCTTATATATGCATGTCTACCCTCGGCCTATGGAGTTCTGAAGTTGTTTATAATGTTCAAGTTCCTCCACAGAGACAGATGGCACCAACTGCTCCAAAGCTGTGTTGAAGTCTCCAGGTGTAACAATGACATCATTATCTGCACTATTGCCTGCAAAAAGACAAACTCATTCTTAAGTACCACCATCTTGCAAATTCACAACAATTCAAAATTTGAAAGTACATGTATATTAAAGAGGCATGATTGGTTAGTTAGGACAATTTTGTTTCCCGTTGATATTTTTTACATTGAGAGGTGTAATTCATGATACTTCATTTATCTTTCTATCAAGTATCAGGTAGCAAGTCTTCTTTCAGAGATTTTGATTTGTTGAGTTCCACGTTTGAGTTCTGGGACACCCTGTAAGATGAATATCAGAATGGAATTTAATCTGAGCAAGAATGTTATAAATTCATTATTCTAAATAAAGAAAAAACAAATCATGTCGACATCACACATGTAAAAGTTCATTAAATATCAGAATGGAATTTCAGCTGAACATGAATGTAATAAAGACATTATTCTAAATAAAGACGAAAATCGTCACTGAATGTCATACATGTAAAATGTTATCAATTATTTAAGTAATAATTGTGGGTGGATAACAATTATCTGCTCAAGGTTACCAAAATGATAAATTATGTATCAGAGACAAGAACATAAATAAAGATGTCAGGGCTGTAGGCATCTGCCTTGCCAAAATTATATCGAAAATATCAATATTCAGACATTCTTTTTCAATTGAAATTGTGAAAATGAACTCTTTAGAGTGTTACCCCACTTTTGACTCAAATTTGCCTTGCCAAATTTTGGATCCTGTCTATGCCCCTGGATGTATAAAGAACATAGAATAATTCAAGATTTTGATTTGTTGAGTTCCACTCATGAGTTCTGGGACA